CTCTCAACGCTCTGCATAAACTTCAATTTAAACAAATGATAAAATATACAACTGTTCAGAAATTTATTATAGTATTTTTGATGAGATTTAATGATTAATCCATTTTAAAATAACTAAGGGATTACATAAAATTTACACATCCAACGATTTGAACTCCACTACTACCTGTGATGACAATGAAAAACATATCTTTAAGCGTCTAGAATATTGTTAAAAAAAACCAGACATCCTCGTGGAAAGGATTGAGAAATAAGAACCATTCCTGTGTTTCTCGTTAGTACACGGATATTTACGTTTTGTACATTTCGGCTTCATATTTTTTTTTTAGTCATCCAACACCAGCTGCGAATGGGTGCCCGCAAACAGGAAGGTCTGCTTTATAATATCTACAACACATAGATATGAATAATGTGTGAACATCCTTTAGGTTTCGGTCGGTTCAATTACAAAACAACGCCATACAAACAAACATTGAGAAATAATAAAAATCAAAAAACTTAAAAAAACAATACGCATGTTTATGGCTCAAGACTTAAGACACGATCCGAGATATTTAAGGGCGGTGGCTTTTAGAGCTGTCACATGTCGATACCACCACATTACAACGAGGATAAATACACATAACTGGTCTCGTGCAATGTTACCCCGAGGACACATTATTTTTCAATTAGTCATCGCGCTTTGTGAGATGTAATAATATTATGCGTGCATAAATAATATTATCATTTATACACGCATCTATAAAAGTTAATGAACAAGCGTTAGTGTATGGTATGCTTTTACCGGTGCGTCATGATAAATATAAATAAACCGATCTCAATCATTACTAAATTCAAAATCAATATAGAAGTACACTTTGTTTTCGGTTTACCCGAAAAAACAAGCCGTATTTGGTTAGTCGCAACAATAACGATAGCATTTAAAGGAATTGAAAAGCACACGTGTTGGAGAAAAGTCAATTGGACTAACTATAAGGTCAATAGACAGAGTCACTGTCTACCGAGATATGTAGTTCATTGAATTTTACTTTTTTAATGAATGAGAATTCATTTTTTTTTTTTTTATATTTATAAGACACAAACGTCTACTTCTGTCGACTAAGCTTTTTACAATTCGTCAATCTGTCTGAATATACTGCAAATAAATCAAATATTGAGACGTTTAAATCATGTTTCGGATATTTCATTTCAATACGATCTAATAGCATGAAATATATAAAAATTCGTAACTATTATATATGACTAACAAAATACGATATTATAGTTTTAGAAAAGAAATATGTGCAATCGTGATGTTTTAAAAGCTTCTGTGTGCTCAGAAAACCGATACAAAGACGAATAACAACTACTTTAACTTTTATATTGACACAATATCTGTCTTAGATGAGAAACTGACTACTGTATTAGTACTGGTATGCGAGACGACACCCGGCGCGGTGACGGGAGATGGTTGGTTGACACATACGTTTTGGTGCTGGCTGGACCGGCAATGACAATGACCGCCGCTACTGACTGCCAGTGGTTCTCATGATCCGGTCAAATAGTTATAATGGCCGCACTGGGCAAGTAAAAAATGTATGAAACGGAAATAGCATATTTAATCACGTTTAAACAAAAGATCTGGAATGATTGACCACGACGATATTTATAGCAGTAAAAGTCAAATACAAAAAATCAAGTCTGCTTGACAACAGAACAATTGCAAATTTAACCAGGTTAAAGTTCTAAATCATGAACACGTGTGTATAAGTGGAAAACATTTTTGTAATACGAATAATACACTTTAATTTTGCCTACTATGTTTTAAGGTCCCTAACTACGCCTATGCAGAAGAAGAAAATTAGTGTTTTCATTATAGATCCTTAGTGAATGGACAGGCGTTAGGAGTGTGCATCATTTGAACTACGCCGGATATCCTCTTGGCCATTCTCGAGACTTCAATCTTCACTGTTATAATATAAGATTTTACACCTAGATGATCTCGATTGTCTTCTTTTTGTACAATGTGCCCGGTTGTTCTCACGTTTAAAACGAATAATAATAGTCGCGAGGTAAACTAAACGACTCTACAGAAATGAATGGGCGTTAATTCTGCAATTTAAAAACAAATATTCTACGTGTAAAAATAAAAACGCACATCGTTATGGTGGTCCAGTACATCAGTATATAGTATTTTATCTTACAAGTCTGAGTTTAATCCATTATTCGCGACGGCACGCCTAAATAACATATTGTGGTGCATTGACAATTTAAGTTTGGGTGTCGTTTTAACACCCACAAACAAAACTCGATCATACATTAAACTATATGATATGATAACAACAAGTGGTCCCACGACGATTTCTCTACATATGAGTCTATGTGTAAAAAAAAAAATCATTTTAACTTATTGTTATTCAATGAAAACCTAAACAAGAACTTTGTTCATAATGTAAGGACAATGCTTACAAATTACCGCATTATGGCATTGCTATGGTTGTATTTACAGATCAGGACAAGCGTAGGAACCTATAAACCTAAATAAATAACCTATTAAGATGATCATCAATCAAAACAATAAACGGTTTTCTATACACAATATTAGAAAGTGAGTATATAGATAAATTTAAACGAGATCTGATTTTTTTTCGTTAGACCTCGTTTGGGAAAAAAAAAACTGCGGTGATGTATTCCAAGGGCAATGTCTACATAATACAAGAGAAAAACAAAAGTACACGAGTACTCGTAAAAATATAATTATTTTCTCCTATCATTACACGGTGCATTGTTCCATAAATTTTACACGTCGAGTGTATAATAACATGTAGAACGTTGCCAAACAGGAACCACGGGAAAAACAATAGTAACGACACACGCGCGCAATCGCTGAAAACACACACGGTTACTATAAAAATATACAATGCAAAAAAAACCAAAGGATTTGTTGTTAATTCATTCGCACGTCCGTGTTTTTGTTTTAACACCCTCCCCATAATTATGGCAAAGAACGTATTACAAATATTGATTTATTTACCACAAAGAAACGTTCATGTGTTTGTTTCCTAACCATTACGTTATTAATGGTTCGCGCGTACAAGACAAAGAGGAGATCTCATCAACCCCAAGTTCACTAGTATAGATACTCTTCATGAATTCCAGGGCAACGGTGGACGTGACGAAATGAGTGCACGGGCTGGGGTTTATTATAAAAGAAAAACGTGTTAGGATTGCTCTAGGCGATTTTCGGGGCGTATAGGTCTTTATTAATATTTTTTTTAACAAGACGCCGCTGTTACATCGACGTCGTTATTAACGAGGGTACTACTGATGTTCCAAGGCTAATTTCCTTCATTGTAAACAATGTGTCGGGAATGTGATCCAATATACAAATCCAATTATTCGGTCTAATAAATATGATTTTTTAACAAAATATTCAGTAATCTTGACAATTAGAATTCATTCTTACGGAAAAAAAAACTTTTAAGTTATTAAAAATTATTCAATGTAATTTTAACGGGCAAAGTATTAGACAGTGTACACATTACGGAAACGTTTGAAATTCTTACCCGAGACTAAGCAAAACGTGCAGATGAAATGATACGACACCAAAAATTCAATAATAATTACAATGAAAACTAGAATAGCGTAAAAACGTGCTCTATGTTTCCGGTTATTTTATTTTTTGGATTTTTGGAATTCATTCAAAACGCGCAGATATCCGCTCGAACTCCGCCCTTGGCATTTTTGAAGTCATTGAGAGCATCGCAGCTGCCAGTGCACCAGGCTATGGGTCTACGGCGACGTGATGATACACATAAACATAGGATTACCCACACACTTGTGTTAAATAAAAGTAACCTTTATTTTGTTAGTACTAAACAAGCAATAGATGCTTTTAGACCAGACTTCATGGAGACATTAGCTAGCGACAGCTATTACACAAACGTGTTACAATATATTGTGTTAATAGAAAAAGTATACCATTTATCTGAAAAGATAAAAAACATCCCATAGTCGCACATTTAAAATGAGATAAAACAAACCCAAACTAATAACATACAATTTCTTTAATAAATCAAGATAAAATTGTCACTGTGAGGAATGGGTGGAACGCTAACTTTAAAATAAAAAATCTAATTGCATTTGAATAGCCTACAGACACTTGCCGTCCTAAGCAAAAAAACAAACTGGAACGATACCAATGGTCATTTAATTAGACACTCGATTAAAAGATATACGATTATTCACATCAGATAAAATACTTCACTAAAACTGATAACCATGAGGTCTGCAAAAGTCATTATAGAATTTCCAAGTTATTTCACAAAACCGACAACGTGTCTATCATTATATTCGTCGTGTACTCACTANAAAACTGATAACCATGAGGTCTGCAAAAGTCATTATAGAATTTCCAAGTTATTTCACAAAACCGACAACGTGTCTATCATTATGTAGTACTCATTACAAACCATTTAAGCGATATCAATAATGACTATAGACATAAAATATAATACGGGCGGTAAAAATATACTTTGTAGCATCTTAAGGTCATTATTTCACAGAATAACAATTATTGAACAATTAACAGTATCGATTTAGTCGATACCACAATTGTTTCATTAGTAATACATTTTTTTAAAACATTTTTTGAGGACTCGGTCCTTTGGTGATAGTTTCCTTAGGCTAGACCATAAAATGATTTCATAATAATAACCGGAGGGGGGTACTAACATGAATTATTAATGATTGGATAGCTTCGGGCAATTTAATTTGGGTATTTACTATGATATTATTATATTTAGCTACTATATTCGGGATAAGTTATCGACCAAGAAACATTTTTGAAATAAGTCGTTAAAATGATAACAGGATAAAAAATAAAAACATAAACAATGTATTATCATTATCGTATAAAGGAGCTCTAGAGTCGCATGATAACGCTATGTTAAATAAATAGTGAGAAAAACATATTGATTAGAATGAAGCAACAAGTTGTATTAAAAACAATTTTGTACTTACTTCAAATTACACAAGAAGTCAGAAGATAGTAACGATGATAATTCCATTTGGGGTACACCGTTTGGCGTTTCCAGTGAAATTATGGCAATTTTTTTTTTTTTTTATTCAGTCGCTCAGGCTGAAATAACCACAAAATATATAAAATAATAATTAAGTACGACTTTATTTAGGTTAGAATAGAACGCTTCGAATTGCGCGCACGTACACTGACACCAAACACAATAGTTACCACAGAAAGGCGGTACGCACGCACAACGATACAACACAGAACAGTCGTACTTGCACACCGGCGGACGGACTGACAAGGAGTACTGCCCGTACCGCGCACGGCGGTAACGAAAAAAAAACGAAATAAATAAACAGACTACGTAGCGACGACGGTGGCGGCGGCGGCAACCGGATTCGGAACGATGCCGCGACGTTGGCTAGAGGGACGACGACGAATAGGAATTTAAGGGGAATCGGTGCAACGGCGACAGTGCCTGCTCCCCCTTCTCTTCACTGCTACTACGCGCCCTCGCATTGCTATATAGTTGCATCCTGCCAGTAACCGATTAGGGGTTCCTAAAATTGTATTCAATTTACCAAGCATGACGACTAGTTGCCACTTGCCATGGTTTCTTCAACATAAAGCGTTTTACATTTTAGTCGGCAAACTATATGTTCACTTACACCGACTAATTTATACTTCAAATGACTTAATTTAATTACGTAATTTTAATGAATATGATGTGTAACAGGACTATTAAATTAAAATACCCATAAGCTTAGGGTGGACAATGTTTTTGGGAATGCTAAATTAAATTTTTCTTCCTTCAAAAAATATCCATATAACAATGCACATAATTTTTACTAAATTTCCGAGTGTCTAAGCACACCTAACTACCCACCCGTCGTCATTGTAAATACCATTAAAAAGTAAATATCTATATAAAAGTTTTATGTTGCATTTTTTGCTTTTTAAGACATATTTATTTATTTATTATTATTTTAAGTTACTGAAGGTATCTTAAAAAAAAAAAGATCAGTTTTACATCCTTCTACTTCCCGAACTTATCATGCTACAGAGGGTGGTGGCCCTCTTTCGCATGTTAGGGAGTCAAAGATGGTTCTTGGCTAGGCTAGACACCAACAATGAGAAAATTACAAGAAAAATCTTGTTGGCACCTTGGGGATTGAAACCTGGACCCCGTGTGCCGAAACACACATTTCTACTCATTAGGTCAGGTCAACCACTATCTTAAATATGTCTTAAGCACAAAAAAAAATAACTAGAAACTGAAAAAGAACCTACAAAAATATTCTTAAACCGGAATTATTTTAATATTTAGATCTTGGACTGGAATAGGTATTTTTATTTTCAAAAAAACAAAACGAGAATCCAACAGGAACCTTTTAAAAATTGTAATTACAAAATAATAATGAATACTTTAAAACATTGATACCACAAAAATAACCAAGAACATACTAATTGAAAATTTACCTAGTACAACCTTAAATAATGGAGGTTATAAAGGGGGAGCGATTCACTCATCACCCCTTGAACTGTGTCTTTTTTTAAATAGTATAGGAAGTATTTAGAGCGCTTATAGGATTATTATAATAAAAACTTGCATTACATTAAATAAAAAAAACAGCACAGTTGAGACACACAGAATGGTTGGTACAGGTGTACATGATGGAAGCGTTTTTATGATAATAATGTTAACCACTGTCATAAAAACTCTTCGATTGAATCTTTAAATTCCTGTTTATGATTGTCGATTTATACTAGCTTTAGGAATTTATTTGGAATAGGTTGAAGGAAGCTTTGGAACATTCATAATTCACTAACTATTTTTTTATAAACTAATATCTCCATGTAGAAAATTTGTGGAATTTTTTTTTTTTTTATATTATAGTTTATTAAGCCTTAATTTAGTAAGCTTAAAGAATATAGAAGTTCAAAAATTTAAATAAAAAAAAAAAAAATGATATGCCTAAGTAGTTTCGTTTAAACTCTTCTTACACTCAATTTTTTTATTATTGAATTATGGATAGTATATTTAAAAAAATTGTATTGTTCTTGTATATTAAGGAACGCATTTTGACATGTTGAATCACGACCACAATACATATTTTTTTCAGTTATGAGTAAAACACAAAAATTGTAACTTTTAGGCGACAATTTTTTACGTAATACTACGATATTATGTAAACATTTTTCACCCTTTAAAATGAGTTATAAATTTGCCATCAATGGCAAAGGGTAACAATTGCCTTCCCCCAAATGAGGACTTGAGTATGTTGTGTTATAATTTCATATAAATTTGACTTTTAAATAAAAAATAATTCCAATTTTAAAATGCAGAAAGTATTCTAATTTCTCTCAGTTATATGCACATTCAGTTTAAATCTATTCATGGCCACAATTGGACACTTTGCTTTAAAATAATTGCAAAATTAGTGAAAAAAAAAATTTAATTTTAGAAATTTTGTATGGGAGAAGTCCAGATAACTTTTATAACGTAGAGTAGTGAGATTCACTCCATTACCCCTGGTACTATAATTTTATGAACATGGGGGTCAAGATCACATGACCCCCCAACTACCTGTAAATACACCATTGAAACCTCAGGGTTTTACACTGCGAATTATGTAATAAATGGTGCACCACTGATCGATTTTCCACAAAAAAATGTATATATTTTAAAATTTAGGTAAATTTGAATGATTATATATATGTAATGTATACATATAGGATTTAAACACTTTGGTAGCCCCTAAATTAAAATTGAATCGTCGTTAATTTTTGTTTTCTTTATAACACTAATTTAAAATAATTTTGTTAATTATTTAATTTTATCTTAGAGAAAATTATATAAACCAGAGTATACTTAGATCACGAAAACTTTCAAAAATATGCATCCTAAGTTGTAATTTAGTTGAAAGTTTCTAAAATTTATCATTTATTTGTAGCCATAGAATGAGATTGAAAAAAAAATTAAAAGGATAAATCTATTTTCACTTTTACTTAATTTATCTTACCCTCTATAAAAATATTTTTATTCTAAATTAAAAGTAGTTTTTTTTAATTTATGGAGAGTTTACACTCCAAATTTAACCGCAGAATCTCTATGTGTATATTACATTAATTTTATGAATGAAAAATTTTTTTTAAGAAAATAAAGCAAGACTATTTAAATATCTTGAATAAGCGTTTTAACAAAGATATATAAGAGAGTAGTTTTCTTTAACGAAAACATTATCGTGATAAAGATAAAACTCAAGGGAGCACAATTAAAAAATGGTCTGTAAGAATACATAGAAATATCCTATTCGTGATAGACTGATGAAAACTTATATGTTTGTAGCTTCAATATACTCGTTATTACATTCACGTGGTTTTGGGTTATCAATTTCTTATCAGTGAACAAAATTTGAATGTTTTAATATTGTATTTAAACATTCAATTAGAAAATTAAAGTTATTTGAATTAAAAATGTTGTGAAGATTAAATAATTAAGATCAGTAGTAATGTCTTTATATTTTCGCCCTTTTACTAGATTTAGTATTTTACGAATTTCTCATTGTAGAATTATAAATGAACAAGTTGCATATGCTCGATATTTTAAGAAAAGTCTTGTTTCTGTAGTACATCCCAGAGTAAGTTAGTTTTAATCGATATTAATATTATAATATTAATGTTATTTATTAGACTAGGTACTTTCATAATGATAGCGACCAAGTAATTGAATTAAATTACTCTGATGTTGAGCCAGTTCAAATACCAATCCAAAATGAATTAAATGATTTAAGAATTGAATCAAAACTTCCAGATGACTCGGTACATATAATGTATATTTATTTTTTATACACATTTTTTTTACAATTAATCAATAAGATATGACTGGAAAAATTTTTTTTACTAAAATGTATGCAAATATTGTTGTACTAGCAAGTGGTTATCAAATGTAAACGTAAAAAATTGAATCATGAAAGAAATCAGAAATATGACCAATTTAAAGAAATTCCATTAGCATCTAAAGGGTGGAAAGATAAAAAATCCAAAGATGACCATTTCACTATTCAAATTTACAGTGATGTAATATTTAAATGATTTATTATTTTATTTTGCCTAATTATACATAATTATTTTATGCATTTAGAATTACTTGCCCAATTCCAGAAAACCTGAATATGATTTCAATAGCACAGGTTTAAGTCCACAAATTATTGACATATTACATAAACATAAAATTTCTGTCCCATCACAAATACAAGTATTAATTTGATTATTATAACTTTCATATTATATAGTTTTAAGTGGTTTTATGGAATTGCAGACTCTTGGTATTCCTGAAATAATCAAAGGAAAAAATACCTTACTTGCTGCTGAAACAGGTTGTGGAAAAACGTTTGCATATTTAGCACCAATAATCCAATCTATTATAGCATACAAAGAAAGAACATCATTTAAGGATAAATTTAATTGTCCTTTGGCTTTAGTTATTGTACCAGGGAGGGAACTAGCTGATCAAATTGGAGTATGTATTATATTAAAATATAATTGAAATTTTATCTTTAAAATTAAAAAAAATAATAATAACTTTTTAATTTTAAAATTCCATAAATCCATTTCGTTATTTAAAAAAATTTAAAAATAAATATTAATAAATTTAGTGATATTTAGTAAAAATTATTTGTTATATATTAGGAGTTTGCTAATTGGTTTGCTGAAGATATACCATTAAAAATAAAAGTGATAACTGGAGGTCATACTAAAAGGCTTATCGTAAATCCAACTTTTGAAGAAACTGATCTGATTATTGCTACTATTGGAGCACTTAGCAAGTTGACTACAACTGGTACCTTAAATCATAAATGATTAAGTTTTTTTAACTGAATTTTAAAATCTGTATTAATGAGTTTTTAATTTATTATCATATTAATTGATCTAATTGTCTTTAAATTTAATAATAATTGTCTATTATAAATTAGTTCTTTTTTTTTTTTTAAGGAATATATTCAATGCGTTATGTTCGTCATATAGTACTTGATGAAGCAGATACACTAATGGATGATAGTTTCAATGAATTAATGACACATTTTTTAAAACGGTTTCATGTATGATGCTATTATCATAGTATACATTTGTGAATAATAATATGATAATTTTATTTATTTCAAGCTGAATTGAACATTTCTTTTATAGATCATTTAGAATGATTTACTACTTTTAAACTAAAAGAAAATTTAACTTATTTTAATGAAGGTTCAGATTTATTTATTAGCTATTTGAACATTTGATCTAAAACATATTGAAACATATTAAACATATTAAACAATTTAATTTGGTTAGGTTTAGGTTTAAATTACTATTAAATAATCATAAAACCTAAGATTAAATTTTATACACATTCAAGTATAATTGTTATAGTTTAAAGGTAGAGATGATCACAATACAGATTTAACTCAAATGATTCTGGTCAGTGCTACAATGCCAACTAGTCTTGCTGATATTTTAGGAGAAATAATTGATGTAATTATACTTATTATTAATTTAGTTTAAGTATATTTGAACTAAAATAATGTTTGAATTATTTATTTAAGGTTGATAATATAAGTAAAGTAAAGACTGATAAACTACATGCCATTTTACCACATATTCAACAAAAGTTTATAAAAACAAATCGAAGTGAAAAACCTTCTCATTTATTATTACTGACCAAAAAATTAAATAAAAGCAATACACCAACTATTGTATTTTGGTAATCAACTGTTTAAATAATTAATGTATGATTAGTATTTTATTATGTATAATTATTGACTAAATAATATGTATTTTTTAAATACATTTTATACCTTATACATTATTATATTCTTTGTTATATTGATTTTATTAATACAAATTTTAATGTATTAGTAACAGATCAAATACTTGTGATTGGGCAACAATGTTTTTAAATGAAAATGGAATTAGTTCTGTAAATTTACATGGTGATATGTTATATAAAATTAGAATTGGTAAATTTAAACAGTATCAAAATGGTGAAGTGAATGTCTTAGTTTGTACCGACATAGGATCTAGAGGGCTTAATACAATAAGAGTTAGTAATTAAAAAAAAAAATAATAATAATTATAGTTATTATTTTATGAATTTTAGACTAAACATGTTATTAACTATGAATTTCCATTATACATTGCTGATTATATTCATCGATGTGGTCGTACTGGTCGCATGAATACAGGTTTTGATGGAAAAGTAACAAATTTTATAAGTGGAGAAAATGAAGTTGATTTAGTTCAAAAAATTGAGGTAGTACTAATTTGATTTTTATTAAAATCATATTAAATATTTAACTGATTTATGAAGTATCACACATTCTTGTGTTAGTTATATATTTTTAAATGAAATTTGTGTAATCATTTGGTTTGATATAATTAAATATATGATGTTTAATTTTTTTTTTTTTTTGAGATATAAGAATCAGAAAAATTAATTTAACTTTGTCAAAATGCCAGATATATAATTATTTAAATAATTATTGGAATAAAGTTCCAAGTTATTGGAATAAAGAAATTCTAAATAATTTTTATTAGAAAGTATCCAATTTGAACTTTTTGTATAAAAATTAATTAAAACTTTACAAGAAATATTCAGGTCAAAATAAAAATGTCAATAATTAAAAATTTTTTTTTAGATAAGGTCATATTTATAATTATTTTTAAACTATAATATAGTTTTAGTATAAAATAATTACTATAATATATTTTCAAAGTATAATGCCCAAAAAAAATTTCACATCACTGGTGTAGTATAAAGTATATTATTTTAATTTATCTATTAGTTTAGGGCCTTAACTCGGAGACCTCCCCCTAAATATTGTTAAAATGCATAAATTGTTTATAAATTTCAAATTCTAATAATATATTTTACAACTTGTATTACAGCTAGCCGCACGTACTATGAAGTTATTACCAAATGTTAATGGTAATATAACAAAAATAAGAAGATTTCAAATATTAAAAAATCTAGAAAATACAGCAAAACTTGTATAGTATAATAAAGTTTTTAATTTCTTAGAATACTGATAATGATGATCATAAGTGCTTATAATTTAAAAATAAGTATTTGTTGAAAATTAAAAAATTAATACTATATGATTATATTTTTTATTTGAAATACACAGAAAATTATATTCTTATTGAAAATTTACTATCATAACCAAAAAATAATGTATTAAAAATATACATTATAAGGAAAATAATAATATAATAAAAATATTTAATTTAACTTTCATTATATAATAAATAGAGAATAAACTTATGAATTTAATATTACAAAATAATTATCTTTTAAATTAATACAGAAGAAATAATATAGTGAATCTCATTAGTTACAAACTAGAAGTAAAATAAAATTAGATACATAAAATAATTCGTTTTTAAACAGCCTTTTATTTAAAAATAATACATCGTATTAACGATTCCATGCTCTACTTTCAGTATAAATTAATACTGGGTTTTCACTTTTATACTTTTGTAAAAATTTTATATTTTGAATATCATGTGATGCAAAAGCTATGTCATCTTTTGTAAGTGAATATGTGAGTCTGAAAAAATCTATCATTGAGGTACCTACATGTTGAAATCTGTACTTCGTATGAACCCAAATTTTAGAAATACCATATTTAACTGGGTGTTGTAATTCACTCAATGTTCCATTAGTATTTAACTGTTTGCTGAATTGTGCAGGTTCAACTTCTAAATAACCAATGACTTTAGTATCTGATGGCATCAACACAGAAATAAATACTGTACGCTGAAACCATCGTACCCCAGATTCTGATATACCAAGTTCAAGGGAGGCATACCTTCTTATTCCAGCTATATTTTTATCATGATAACTATTATCAAATCTTAAAATTGTATAGGACAATCCAGCTGGTCTTTTAATCTGTTTAATACCATCTGGTAACATTTGTTTTGAAAAAACAAGAGATGTGGCATTAGCATGAAGTTCATCATGCAATTTTTGACTCCATTTAAGAGGCACCCTAACTTCAGTTAAACCGCACTGACATAGTTTTTTTTTTTTTGGCTTGAGACTAGCTAAAAATGATGGTAATTTTATTTCATGTTCCGATTCCAATTCAGCATTATTAGAATAGAATCTCTGATTATTGGAATATTGATTGTTTAGTAAAACCGAATCTTCATTATATTCTTGAACTACTGAATCTTCGGTGTCGTTAATATCCCTTTTTCTTTTTGCGTGGTACTGAGCCACGACTGGTGTTCTTATGTGAAATATAACATCATTAGATATATTTATAAACGAGTCACTGCTGTCGGATTTGAGATTCAATTCATCAGATGTCTGAAAATTTAGCAATTCTGATGACGAACTATGACAATTTTCTGAAGTAAATAAAATTTTCTCCGTTGTCTGAAATTTCTTAGAAATTGTTTTTTTATTATTTCTGCTAATTGATTTATTCCGCTTGTCTCCACCTATACTCTCTATATCTTTTATTTCTTTATTGTTTGTTAATTGATTTATATTCATATGGTCGACTGTCCAAATTTTCGCGTTAATCAATTTTTTGTTTCTTTTTTTCTTCCTTTTAAGAACTTGCATAATAGAAATAATTAAAACCTCTAACTCATCGTTGATTCCTCTTAGAAAGCTTTCATTTACCATGGAGTCGCTTTTTTTCCCCAAAGCAATACTTAATTCTGCTTTTGTATCTTCTAAAAACAATCTAACATGTTGACGGAATAATTTATAAGTATTTACATGCTCCTTCAAAATATTATCATCTTCGTAAGACGAACTATCCAAATAATCTTCGTTCGACATATTGCTAGATTTGTCTGAATCCTTGGTTAAAAAATTAATAGTTTTATCAATATTTTTTGTTATGTATCAATTAAATTAAAGAAATATTAGTATATCCCGAAATACTGGAGTATTCGAAGTACAGACTTTTGTAGTTCATTTTTTCAAATATATTTCAGTTAAACAACGTAATATTATTCAACCAGAAAAAATAATTTTTAACCTTCATATAGAGACAGTAGCATTTCTTCAAGATACGTGACACCAGGCCCGCTGATGTTACTATTTTAAGTGATTTGTGGTTTATGTTAAAAAAAAACGCAGTGATTTTAATAATTTTCGAAGATAAAAATTTTTGTTTTATTGCCCGTTACTTTTTAAAAATGTAAATTTTCCAAAAAAATCCACAACCAAGTCTTTTAACAAAATTGCATTGATTTAATTCTATTTAATTAGGATTTAAAGCAGTTATAGTAATAATTAAAAGCTTAATATGCAAGTTTATACAATCGGAAATCTTCAACAGTCCATATACAATAATATTGTTATCACAAATAATTTCTAAATATTTAGATTAATGATTGCTATTAAAGAATTTTTGTCTACATTTAATTGCCAAATAGGAGAAAATATAAGTGGTCATCATCGTGTTGAACGCATTCATTTCACACTCCTCGTCCAAAAAAATAATAATAAGTCTGTATGGAAAAACCCGATTTTGAGGAATGGTTCAAATAAATAAGTACACTTATTGTAAAATACTTTGTCTTTTTTTTCTTCAAAATCTATGGTAAGTGCACAGGTGTAATAACAAGCAAATATGAGTTTTACACCCATACCAAAAATGATTATATAGCAAAGATATAATTTTTTTCATTTGGAAAGAGTAGTAAAAATTTTTCTTACGTTTATTCTCCCCAGGACGAAATACTAATTATGCCAATGTGTAAGTGTTAACAAAGTTAATAATTATAGATATTGATTTTCAATCACGGGCATGTTAATCGAAATAATTAACTCAAGTTAATTATGAACAATGTTGATAAATTAATAGTTAAGAGTTATCAAATTATAAATTTAACTAGCTAAGTTAAAATTTTTTTTTAACTTAATTAAAAAAGGTTTATTTCATTAAAATTAATTTTTCAACTAAAATTTTTTTTTAATCATTTTTTATTAGTCGGTAATGAAAGTTAAGAATCTAATTTCTACTGGATAGGAAGAAAATATTAATGATAACAAAATTTTTTTTATTCATTTGTACATATTGGTGTTGGTAGCACTGTTTTATCTCTAAAACCATTTATTAAAAAAAACAGTTAAAAATTACATACATTTTTAGAAAAATTCAGAAAATTATATTTATTTTAACATAATTTAATTATAATATTTGAGAAGGGGAAAAATTCGATTTTTTTTTAATTAAACCACAAACACAGCCTATAAAGACATAGTTTTTTTATGAAATATTGAATTTAGTTTAACTAATTAACTGAAAAAAGCTAAGTTATTTCAATGGAAAATTAAACTAGTTAAGTTAAAAAGTTTATTAGAAAAATAATAATGCCCATCATTGTTGATTTTTTTCTCAAATATTTTAGAATAGCAAAATCCTGGGGAATTTTAATTAAAAATTTTCCCAATAACTCAACCCAACCCAACAATTATTAGTTATACTATATAACATAATTTTAATAACTAAATAAGTACTGTTAAAATAAACTGATCTATTTTTTATCCTTTTATATACTTAGTGATAACAGTTAAATAAAAAAAAGTACATGTTTCTTAATATAAAATTAAAAATATCAATTTCTTTTAATTTAAATAAAAATCGACTTTTTTTATACTTATTCAATCAATTTAATTTTTATAGAATAAATATTTGATAAAATTACAATTCATTGTAAATTAACTATAAAATAATTTTTATTATTGATTGAATTTAGTTTACAACTTTTACATACCTTAATATTTCTCTATTAAAATAAGAATTGATAATATGTGATGATCAATTAACAAGGCATAATCATTTTCTCAAAATGATACGAAACCCAATAAACGTTTGATGAACTTTATTTTAAGGCACATTTGTTATAATAATTCATACTCGACTATAAAATGTTAAATAATTGGGTAATATACGATGTTATTTTACATAATAGGAAGTAATTTCTGAAGTATATCATTTACTGATCATCTTAAAACTGATAGTTTTGATTACAATTAGATACCAAAGTCCAGTTTTTCTCGAATTAGCTTTCAACATAATTTTATTTACTGCATTAATCGAATAAACGCTGACAGTTGTAATAAGTCGTTTATACTAACCTACTGAGGAATCGTGAATCTGCTGGCGGGTCTATACAAAAAAATTTACAGTATTAACACTATAATTTTACAAGTGGGCTAGATTTATAAAATTAAAGTCATTTAACGGCCTTCTAAATACATTTCTGATAATGAGAATATGTATTATATTAATATAATTGATTATTTTACTTTGAGTGAATTTGATGTTATTGACAATGATTTTAATTATCAATTATTAAAAGGGTTTAACAAAATAAAATCATGTGTATTCCTCCCGGGTTCATTACCCACTCCGTTTATTAAAATATTTGAGATTTAATAAGTATTTGTACTAAAATTCTTGTTAACCCATCAAAATATTTTGTACCAAGTACTAAAAAAATAGCTATTTCAAAATTAAATCTTTTTTTGTTTTGTAAAAAAAAAAAAAATATGCTTATAAATATTTGAAGAAGTTGTAAGATTTATTGGCTTAATAATCTGAGAGACTCTATATTTAGTTGCACATTAAATTTCAAGTTAAATACTAAAAATCCATCAGAAAGGTTTATGATGTATTATTTAGCAACACAAAACAGATGGAACGTAATAAATTTATTATTTACCAAAAATAATATGAATAAAAAACCAATTTTGTGCAACTTATAAATTTGTTCTCTTAACATTACACACATACAATTACATTTATAATATATTACATGAATGACAATAATTTTAATTAACGTATAACATTTGTATGGTGGTTTGGTTTAAAAATGATATTACATTAGTCACACAACTTAATTCATGGCCATATTACAAAAAAATAAATCAAAATGTATATTTGTTTAAAAAATTGTACTCAAAGCTCTCATAAAAATTATTTTTAGAATATAATTACAGCTTGAATACATGATTTCTATCAAACATGCCCAAAATAAATTCCCTTATAGCCCATTACAACAATTTCTACAACTCACTATGATGTTAAGTTAAGGGTAAATAGTTAATGTAAACAATATTTAATCAAAAATTTCAAAAAACAATTAGAAGAAAATAAATTATTATAATTTATAAATTTTAAGGATAAAAATATATCCTGTACACAGGGGATGCTGTAAAATTATTATTTAGAACAAATTTTCAACAATATATACACAAAAAACATAACACTTTCAACAATAAAGATAAAAAAAAAAAAAGAGAGAAAACATCAATAATTTATTATATAAATGACTACATACAGAAAAAAAAATTAATGTTGAAAAAATTGATAAATACTGAACGATCATACACGAATGACAATGTGTTATAAATTTCTATAAGTATTTGACCAACGTTCAAAAAATTCACTAGTTCAAAACATTGTATAATTATTATTATAATTTATTTACAAAAAATAGCCTATTGTCAAAAAAAGAAAAAAGAATAAAGTCAATTTATAATTTATAGTAAATTATCATTAATCATTAAGCAATATTTTATGGAATCACTTACAAAATTGTATTATATAAATGTTTTGTTCATGTATGACTAAAGCAAGAACTGGCACTAATAGATATTGATCCAGCTAAATCTTGATAGCTAAATTGTGGGAAGTAAGGTTGCAATTGTTCCATTTCCTCTGCAATACTATTGAGGTGATTTGACGACAGGTCTGGTGGTGTTAGTTCAACTGATTCTCCAGTAAATTCAGAATCAAAATACCGCGTATCTGTATCCGATGATACTTGAGGTTGGAATGGTGGAGGAATCTGTAAAAATTAAATTTTGTCAATTAATAGTCTTAAAATGTGTTTGTTTTGATAAATTAACTTAAGCTAGTATACTATATGTCCAGAGATTAAAGAGACAAAATTTTCAAATTATAAAACTGTTTAAATGTATTGGTTTAGAATAGAGTTTACTTGAAACAAAAAAAATTTCTTTAAAAAAAATACAGACCTTTTTTTGCTCCAAATCCAACCAATTAATACTACTGAAAAACACATGAGTCATAATTTCTTGGGCATCATCAGGACCACCCCCTAATCTTTTCTTAGGATCTTTAATCAAAAGACCAGTCAATAAACTTTTAGCAGCAGCTGAAAGTCCTCGAGGGAACCGAACCTAATTTTTTTATAGAAAAATAACAATTAACATATTAAAATAAAACCAATTTATAGAAAAATCTTACAGATTCCATTAAAATTAAAGCAAATAGTTTATCATGGTCTCTATTGTAAAATGGTAATCTTCCACACATCATTTCATACATAACTACTCCAATACCCCACCAATCTACTGCTCTACCATAATCTAAATCTTCTAGAACTTCAGGAGCTAAATATTCAGGAGTACCACAAAACGTTTTAGTAGTTGATCCATAAGTAATGTCTTCTTTACATAACCCAAAGTCAGCTATTTTAATGTGACCATCTTTATCCAACAGTAAATTTTCAAGCTAAAATTTTTTTTTTTTTTTAATAAAAAATGAATAAATAAAAGAACTAATAATTACTTTTAAATCCCTGTAAATGATTCCCTGGGAATGTAAGTATCCCAGAGCTGAAATGATTTCAGCACCATAAAAACGAGTTCTATCTTCAGTAAATACACGTTCTCGTGATAGATGGAAAAATAGTTCTCCGCCATTTACATACTCCATCACAAAACATAATCGATCTGCTGTTTGAAATGAGTACTTTAAAGACTGAAATCATAAATTCAATTTTATTTAAATTAATATAACATAACAGAATACTTATTAAATTGAAAAAATAATTTACAATTAAAAAAGGATGACTAGTAGTGCGAAGAACCCTGTTTTCTGTTAATGTATGAGCAACTTCATCTTTTTGAATGATAACTTCTTTCTTAAGTATTTTAATGGCATACAAGTGACCAGTTGCTTTTTCACGGCACAAAATCACTTTACCAAATGTGCCTTTACCAAGCACTTTAAGAAATTCGAAGTTTTCAAGAGTCTGTAAACATGATACATTTGTAGTGTATTGATAAAAGATAAATGATTTATCATTATACTTACCACTTTTCGTTTACCAGTAGATTTACTAGAAGATGTTCCTTGAACGGAAAATTTGGCACTAAAATCATCAGAACTTGGTCCAGACATTGTACTAGACATACTAGTAGAATGAGAAACACCTTCCATTTCGACTTCATCTACATCACACAGACGTTCCGACACACCTTTTATAGCAGTCATCCATTCTTCTCTACAAATATCAATTTAAATACATTTAAATAAATAGATATGATATAACAAATATTAAATTGAATAAAATATAAATAAATTTCAGTGAAACATAAAACATAATGTAATTTAGTTTTTAATCCTTTTCACTTGTTAATTTTTAATCATTTGTTATATAAAAAGTGATTAAGAGATTCTATTTATTAAAACTTCTTTGAAATAATTAATATATAACTAATAACTAAATTTCAGAAAAAAATTTTTTTTTTCAAAATAAATGTAGTTATATTATTGAATTTCATTAAAAATTACAAATGTTTTAAAGTATTAAATGAATGAAAATGAATTATTTTTTCAATCACTTTTTATAAAATAAAATATAAATAAAGCATTAATTAACAGTAATTTTAAAAGAAAATTGTTTAAAATTATGATGAAAGAAAAAATAAGATAATAATGGTTAAATCAATGATTAAAATGTCTAATAGAACGATTTTTGGCTATAAATTTAATAAATTTAAATAAAAATAGATGATTAAAACAAGAATATTGGTAATAAATTTACCAAGTACAAGTTTATTTTTACACGAGAAACATTTAATATACTATTGTTTAATATAATTTATATAATTAAACTACAATAAATAAGTCATACAGTGGAATAGTTATTGGCACCCTTAAAAAGTATATATATAGATTTTAATAATATTTTCTACTACCTCAATTAAGTATACCTCACTGATTATATCGATCAAAAAGATTTTTTTTACATACTTTTCATTTGAAGAATAAGTAGGGTGATCAATATATCATAAACCACTCAATTACTCTCAAAATAATTATAATATTAAAAAAAAAAATATTGCTCTTTTTTAATTACATATATTTCTTGTTTCAGCTAATAATTATATTTTTGAATCATTCTTAACAACTTAAAAGAGTGTTAACTATATATTTTTTAATGGCAACATACATATTTAATTAGCTTATAAAGTAGAAAATAATCTAATTAAGAAAATGACTGGTCAATAACAACTTTAAAAGTTATTCTCATTATTATAACTAGGAAGAATGTCCAGGAAATAGTGATTATTATTAACCAGTAATTTTTTTAACTGGATTATTTTCTACTTTATAAGCTAGTTAAATATGTATGTTGCCATTAAAAAAAATGAAGTTGACACTCTTTTAAGTTGTAAAGAATGATTCAAAAATATAATTATTAGCTGATAAATCAAGAAATATATATTATAATTAATGAAAGCAATATTTTTTTTCAATATTATAAATTTTTAGAGAGTAATCAAGTAGTTTATAATAAATTGATCTTTCTATATAAGCTTAATACATAATTGGTTTTTTGATTTACAAACAATTAACAAAAAAGACTTTTTGGCATCTTGATATTTTCTATTTTTGAAAATAGATAAAAGATTATTGTTATTCATATCAGATGACCTATTATTATTAAATAAATTTAATATCGTTATATAGCCAAAAAAAGATGGTAAAATTTGTTATAAATATTTTAATGTTTCAATACTGTATTATCTAATTTAAAAGTAAATTTATTGACAAGATGAATCAAGATATATTATACATGGTAAAACATACAATGATACCTACCTATTGCATAAGTATTTATTTATCAACTAACCTTTCTTTTTCGGATGATACATGAAATGTTCGTTCAATTACAGTTGTCCATTGTAGACCTCTTATGGTAAAAGTGTATGGTTTAGGGCGATCAACACTCATTATCTGGCATCTTTTAACAGTAAAATTGTTAAGTGGTTCAGTCATGGGACCCTCAGGTTTATTTCTATAACCCATTAATGAACCATCGGCAAACAAAATAAAGTATCTTGATCTCCAGTTCTTAATATGTTCTCCTGGTATCAAAAAATGTATGAAATGTAAATAATGTATCAAATCAAATTAAATCTCATTTAATCTTACCTCGCTTAAATAACCATCCTTCTTTAACAATAGATGATTGACTGGATGATAGTGGTAAAGGGTTACAAATAGACTGTAAAACGTCAGCCATGATTACAATGACAACACTATATTATTTCTTTAAATCATCTAAAACATAATTATCTAAAAAAAATAAGTTGGTATTTATTAAAACATATTGTTTTTACATATAGCTATTAAAATTAATTAAGTCTCAAACACTAACATAAAAATTAATATGGCCAGACAAGCATACAGTACATTGTTTTTACTCTTTATTTTTAACAATTGATTTTTAGAATAGTATATTTTTAATACAGATAACATAAATAAAATATCTATAGAATAAGTCTTTTATGATTATGCAAATCTTTTGAATTTACCTAAAACATCTATAATACGCAGCTGCTGTAATCATATTCAAAGATTATTAACCAATTATTGAAGCCGTTGATGTTAATCGGGTGTATACTAGCCGTGTTTTTCGAAGTTATTATAATTCAACTAATTTTTTTTGTGACTAAAACCATGCAATATTTTATGAAAAATGGCAGAATAAAATTAACAATATATTAGCTAATAACACAAAAAAAATATTGGATCAGACAAATTTTCATTTCATGATATTGAGATACGTGTTTTAATGTATATCAGTAATTATTTTGATTGTACGCTGTCGAACGACGTATCTGCTGCGTAGTGGCCCCACACACAGTGCACTCACACGAACAAATTGGACACAACAATGTGGCTGATGCAACGAACACAACGTTCGCTGATTATCGAATTCACAATTACAGTAATTTATAAACACATTATTGGTGTTTACGTCGGATTTTATTTTTTCCCGGTGAATTTAACAACGAACTAATATTTTATTTTAGTTAGAACACGCATACTCGAGTTGGTATATTGATATCAACACTGCCATTTTGTTTTTTGTTTTTATTATTTTTGCTATTAACACGATTTGTTGTTGTTATTTTATCGTATTGGAGTAGAACAACAGCTATACTTTCTATATACCATAATAGACCATTGGTATATAAAACAGTGTGACACGGTTACTGATATTAAAAAATGTTATATTTGTCGACAGAATGACCACAAATTTAATTATACTGAAATTTGTGACATTTCTGTACCTTATGGCTGCACTGGTACAATAGTCTGACAAAGTACAAAAATTTTATTTATTTTTTATAATAATGGTACGATACCTGAATAAGTCGTTCAGGTAATGAATGACACCTAATATAAATTTAGCTTTAATTGAATCGGTCATTTCGAAAAGGCCATTTCTCCAAAAATGACTTAATCAGCAATTTTATTTGTTTAGACTCTATTTTCATCTGATTTATTGTTTATCTGTTTTCGATAACGGTTGATAATAACAATAATAATTATTGTTATTATCAAGAATATAAAATAATAAGTCAATATGAGTGAATTCGAAGACGAAACTGAGTCTACGATTGGTATCAAAAGAAAAAATTAACTAAAAAGAAGTAATGTTGAAGTTCATAAATAAAATTATTACAAAGAATGCACAGTATATTTTATAAGACTAATTATTTAATTTTATATGATATACAATAAATAATTGATCAGAGTGCGGGTCATAATCAATGAAAATTTACAATCCATTGGAAAAGACCATATCTCAAAAACGTTCATTCCTTTATAAAATAATCTAATAGGTATAAATAGTCAATATTACATTATAGCTGATTTTTTATAAGGGAATTTAATAATACAACCCTTATTCAATTTTCATCTAAATTTATTTTGATCTTTAAAAACAGTTTTTTACGTTTCCAGAAAAATAAAATTTTATGGAGATATAGCCTTTTCGAAAAAACCGATTCAATTACCAATTCAGAATTATAATAATTTAACATATGTTTGAAAGATTTTCTCATATTTATTTTTTTAATGTAAGCTATTATAGTAAAAATTGAATTAGCTTGTTAAATATTTTTCGTTATAATATTTGTTTAATAAACAGTATTAATGCCAATTAATTTGTTTTTTTTTTGTTTACAGTTTTCTTTTACAATACTTAATTATAAAAAATTAAGAACTTATGTCAAAGGTAAATTTTTTAATATAACTTAAAATTTTTGAATAAATTATTCTCAAAGAAGGAAATTCAAAACCGAGTAAATTTTTGGGTTGACTTTTATTATAAAGTAAAGAGCAGATTAAGATTATTATTATATTATTTTTATTCACTTAACCATAGTATTATAATTATCTTTAAGCGACTATATGTATCATTAAATTTAGATCCTGATATTAATTACGAGCCCCTAATTAAAAAGGTTCACCTAAATTTTCTCAGTAGCTCGTCTTAACTATCCGCACCTGTTCATAACTACTCAGTGAATAAATTTAACGAATTATTAGGCGATAATTTCATTAAAACGAGAAATTTGATTTATGAAGTTATGAACTTTAAAAATAAATTACAATATTAATAAATATTTTAAAAATCTATGGAAGCACAAATTAATTTTTGTATTCAAATTAATGTTTTTTTATAAATCGATCTATTAAACATTATAATATAAATTATAAATTATAATATAATATAAAATATTTAATTACAAAAACACAAAACAAATTTAAAGTGTTATAAGCATTTTTATTTAAGACTTAGATAAGGTGTTCAGGCAGTAGCGTATACAAAAAATTTTTTCAAGGAGAATTGACGGAAGAATATTTTTATTATTTTATAAAAAATATAATTTTTGACGATATTTTTTTCTTGTTTAAATTACTTTTAAAAGTATTAGTTTTAATAAAAAATGATTTCGTTCCATGAAATTTAGGAGAGGGAAGATTGAGCTCATTCAGCCACCTGGGCTACACAACTAGTTTATATATTTATACACCTCCCTAAAAAATGTTAATTTGTTAACATATCCATAGGCGCAATTTGAACGAAATATTCTAGACTTCCCTATCTATAGTTTGCTAACTATATTGTACCTATGAACATATTAAAATACAAATATTTTTTAAATTTTGAAGGAGGCAACTCCCTCAATAATAGAGATGTACAATTTTGATGTCCGCGGGTTAGTGATATTTTTATGTAGAGATCCTTCAGATATCGATCAGTAGTTATGAATTTCGAATACTTTTTGTTTTTCATGGATCCCTCCCAAAATATTATAGAAATAATAATTATTAAATACAAGAATAAATATATCTAAAATACGTGTTATTAATTTAAATTGGTTAAAAATATTATTATCAAAAAGATAGTATAAAACATCCTGTGTTCTATATAATATATTATTATACAGTACATATTATTAATAATAAAATATGAAAACATAATAATTTTATATTATAAAAGATAAAATCACAATTCTGTGATTAAATTTTTTATTATCAGTGATTGTGACTCATTTGACTTACTCAAAGTGGCGTTTCGGTATCTTCATATTTATCACTAGTTAGCAAACTAATTTATTATATATATCTAAGAATATTAGTTAAGTGATAACTGGTAACTAAAAAAATTGATATAGTACATTTTTCATTTATTTTTATTACAAAATATTATACCAAACCTCAAGTTACCGTATCAATTTTGTAAATAATTATTATAATATGATGTAATGAATAATGAGATTTAATTGGTGGTTAAACAATTTTAGAGCGGTAAAAAAAATTTTCCGCATAAATTTTTTTGTTTGTGTAGATTAGGTATATCTACTTTACTCCTGTTCTTAATTGTTATATAAAAATATTTTTAGGATTGATGAAAACTTAATTTAGCACCATGAAAAATTTCAACCTAGTTGCCTGATGATCCTTTTTAATAATTTTAGATAAATAAACATCATTTTTGTGATGAAAAGCTAAACTTTTGTCCCTTTGAATAATTAGGTTATACTCATCTTTGGATACCTTCTATAAAAATTTTGTCGCCGCTAATATCGTGATTGGACTGAATAAAAGATAATATTTTATTGTATATAACAATAATTAGGGATTAAAAACCTTTCGAAAGTAAAGTAAATCATTTTAAGAGGAGTAACTCCTCTTAAAATCATTTATTTTATATTTAAAATATAACTTTGTAAAATTGTATTTTCAAAAAAATGTGCACATTCCGTGGATTTGTTATCACCACATTTTGGTCTTGACTTTTATTCTTCATTCTTTTTAAAAACATAAAATTTTGTTGTATTAACATATAATTTTTAAATAATTTATTAAGAAAAAGTTTTTTAGTTTAAGCAATTAAACTTAAAATACATTAGACATAAATTACAATAATTATTCTAATAATTATAATTATAATATTAATTTAATATTATAATTTCATTAGTCATTTTGAAATAAAACTCACATTATTAAGTACGCCATCAAATTAATTTGGATAACATTTTCTGTGGTCATTGAAGCACATAGAAGAGTTACTTTGTGCACAGCGCCTCTATTAATTTTCTCACTTTGAAATTTTTTAGGGAGATGAATAAACAAAAAATTGTTTAAATTAAAGACGGGGTGAAAACTTTAGATTTCTATGAGGAAAATGGGTTTTTACATTCAATTTGTCGACACTTACTCATCCGATAATCATTATTATATGTTATTAACTTATGTAAATTTGCGAACAAGGAATAAAATGTCTAGTTTTCGAAAAATGTTCTGAAACATATCCTCTATTTTAATGTTTAAATTACGATCAATACCAATGACGTTACTTTAAGTAAATGTCAAATATTAAAATTTAACTTCAAACGATAAACAAAAAAAAAAGTGTCTGAAAAAATAAGAGCAGAAATATGGACTAAACGTTTCCTCAAATCTCTGAAGTCTATTTCAACACTGAGTTTTTACACTAAACAAGCGTATGACAATCTAGTTAAAAATCCATCTCAAAAAAATAAACCCAGAAAAATGTCAAAAGCGTTACAGAGGAGCATTCCAAAAACGCTGAATTTCTTGTGATAAAACGCACATGTCAGTTTTGTGTATTATTTTTAAGGGTACTATTGTGGGGTATCGTTCGGTTTCAGTTTTGTTAGTACCGGTCGACGTCGCAGTGCGTACAAGTGTAGCCTCGACCTCCTCCCGGAGTCCGTCCAAACACCAATTTAACGAATGGTATTTCATGATCAGTCAGTGCACTAGACGACTTGTCCAGTTGCGGACGTCTCGCTGTCGCATTTCCGTGGGACACCACGTTCCAAGTCGACGCCGTCTGTTGTTTCGCGCCTATTTATTATTCTTTTAATCACTCGATTCTTGTATCGACTCCATACTCTTGAATCTATTGCCGTCTTCAGCGATCCGTTACAATTGTTATCAACGAAATTAATTGTTTTGTGTGTGTGTGTTTATTTTCCTCATAGTCAATTCGCGTGTGGTGTGTAGCTGTGTCGAACAGTGCTCATTATTTTGGATTACCTGTTATATGGATGCAACTCCTGCGGATGGAAATCGGCGGGTATCGTCGACACCATTTCATGGCAGTATAGTTAATGAAGGTAAGATTGCTGGATGTTTGATCTCACATTGGATTTAAAAAACTGCATTTGATAGGTATATTGAGAATGTAATAAGTTTAACATCTAATATATATTGTTATTGATCCATATCAAATTTTCAACATCCTCGGAACTTGATTTGTTTTTGGTTTACAACGCAAATAATTCTTTGTTAAAGTAATACTGTTGTTCTTTACAGTTAAAATTTGACTTAAATAACACTATTGGTTTCGATTAAAAATAAAAACGCCACATTGGAAACTATTTTAAACAAATTGCTAAGTTTGTTTGTAAATACTTAAATTATAATAACAAATTACCAATAACAGGTAGATATATTTACGTAGAAATAAACTCGTTTCTATTGGAATCTCGACACAACAAGGTGTCAACTCTCACTTCTTAATACCTCTGAGCAATCATAGAACAGCAAAAATATGAATAAAAAACGCACATAACCGACACGCTTAGTAGGTGATAGCGTTTTCTATTCGAAAAAAAAATTAGCTAAATTCCTTATTGTTTTGTACTTTATAGCTTCAAGACTATCAACGTTCCATATTGTTTGAAATTCGATATCACTAGTTGGGAAATCATAAGATTATTCATTTTTTATCATACATTCCTTGCATAGACAACTCTATCAAATGATGATACTGTATCTACAGTAACGTCTAATAGCTGGGGAATGTTGTCGAATATATGAATGTGTTGTCTAAATACCGAAATTTAGCTGGGAATGCTGAATTTCGGTATTTTATTTACAAGCTGATCAAGTTGTATTCTCACAACGTATTAGTAACTTTCAAATACGATTTGAAAATATATTGGTTTTATTTTTATGTAGACTCGATTCTTTCCAATTAAATGGTTTATTATTTTTTTTTTGCGACTATTTAGCAAATCATTCGTGTCATACATGAGACCCACTTATAAATACACGATTTGGCATTAATAGGTAACTCGGATCTGATAATGGTTCATGACTATTTTATTTCGACCCTGACCTCTTGGCTATTATCAATAAGTAATAGTCCATGTAGGTTGTCTAAATTACTCTTAAAAATCGTATTTAAAATTAAAGATACGGTTTAAGTGGTACCTTATAATTTAATGAATTTTTTAGTATCTATTGTAAATATAGAGTTTGAAATAAATGAAAAGTGATAAGAGGTGACAATCTATATTAAATGCAATTTAAGTGCTTTTCTAGCTGCATAATAGTTACATCCCCCCATATATTTATGTCCTCGAGTAGTATGAACCTAAGTTAATTTTTCTCCTATTTTTTCTTATAAATGGTGGTTTGATTTAGTCAATACACTTAATGATTCTAGGGGCACATCTCCATATTAATAGGTTTAAAAGGCTTAAATTTATTTAAATTATGATTTTATTATTATTATATTATCACAAATTACCAAATCTCATTAAGTAAAATTAACTTGAATAAAAAAAAAAATACTACATTATAGCTATTTTTCTTAATAATAACAGAAAAAAGATTTTATTACTTTTTTACTAATGAAGAAGTTTCAATGCTCATCAAATTATTCGTAAATTTTATAAATTGAATTCATAATAAATCATTTCCCTACAAATATTTGTTGAAATCACAAAAAAAAAAAAACACCCATTTGTTAGCGTCTTTAATTTTAAAAAAATCCTGACGAGCACAGGAAAATCAATATTCTGATGTAAATATTTTATCTTCAAAAAAAATATATATAAATGAAAAATAATAATTTTCATAGAATAACTCTGCAATGTTTGCAGAACTCTGAACAGAAATTACAGCGCGCCAAATGAGATCCAGTCGCTTAAGTAAGGCGACTGCTGGTCTCAGTAATCAGTAACAACTTAATAAATATATATATAATAACATCATTGAATAGAAAAAAAATGAAAACAACGTATTTGTCGTGGTCGTGCAAGTGACACTATGAAACTGTCCGACTGGAATTGTTAATTAGCCACGTGTAGACTATAAGTATATTACAATAAAACTACATTTTTACTATACAGACAGATTGGCGGAGACTCATTGAATTTTTCCAAAATAATAATGAATTAGCAGAACGTACGATTGCTTTTTTTTCAACAAGTATGCGAAGTCACTTACTAAGCACTAAATATTTAACAAGGTCGTCACATTTTCACACAATGAAAAATTTTGTTTGCTAACTACGACGTTTAAAAAAAAAATATTTTTAATTACGTTTAAAAATAAAAGTTTTACACGTGTACAGAGGATAAACTTCTTTTATTCATTTATCGTTTACTATTCATAAATTTTAAATCGTTTTTTTTTTATTTATAAGATTACAAAACTCCTATTAATTAACTTAAAAGATTCATCAGATTTTATTTTATCGTGTACCGTACATGTATATATCGTTTAGCGTATTTTAATTCATTAATTTATTTACTACGATGACAATTGTTCATTAAATAAATTCTAATGATAATTTATTCTTAATATCAAAAATTTTGCTAAATATGATCTATTTAATTATCAATTGTTGTTTGAATAGTTTTATTGAAACGTTATTCGTAAGTTTACTGAATTTAATTTTTACGTTTAAATATTAACGTTAATTGACTCGATACAACTGTTATTGTGCAATTTAAACGTTATTGTACTATTAAATACATTCGCTGTAAATTACTTCCGTTTTATCCGGTGATTCTTATTATATTATTTGTGTAACTATAGTCATCTCGGGCGAACGGATGGGCGGCAGGCACGCGGCTAGTCGCCCAGCAGCTTGTGTAGGTATTGTATGGTAGGCACCTGGTCCGCACCGGGGTTCGGGTATACGAAGCGACCAGCAGGTACAGTGGTAGACGGGTGGCGGGAAAAAGGTCGACCGCATTCCAGGGCCAGATCGCCCCCTCCCCGCGGCAATACGTTGGAATGTCGTCGGCTCGTGACCCCACACCTCCACCTATTCCTCTTCTACCTCATCCGCCGCCAAACCGCTACCACCTCATCGGCATCGCGCGTCGTCCACCAGCCATCGATTCCATTCCTCTTTACCGCCTCTCTGCCGTTCCCCAATGATGCGATCGAACACACGAGTAATCGTTGTCAATCTGATTAACACATACTGGGGTATACATACATTGTTTTATTAAAGTCTATTCAACTTTTTAAAAATACAACGCGACAGTTATTATTCGAGCTAAGAAATAGTTATCGACAAATGCACGTGGAAAAAATGTGTTCAGAAATACGAAAACGAACTGTTTATGATTGTTCAGCTATAGAGTGTACTGTAATGTTATTTGATACTCGAAATGTAAGATTGATTCTAATAAGATCATATCTATATACACAGTGCGTTTGATAGCAACATGTCTTGGTGTGTTATGTAAAGGCATGTGAGCCGAGCGAATTTCATAGTAGAGCGTGCGGTGTGCGCGCCAATTAAATACGTATCTTTCAATGCGCTGCTGGTTTACGAAGAATGATAATATGAAAACGTGTGATCACATTTTTTTCGAAACCACCGTAGAACCGGTTAAGCAAAAATATTTGTTTCCACGTACCACCTCACGTTGTCGGCCGTAGATGTTTTGTAAGCACAAGAGAGAAATAAAAATCATTTTTATCTGTTGGCGAATCGGACGCGAATGTACAAATTCGCCGGCTTTGCGTCATCGAGTGTGGTGCAGGTTACTTTATCTGTCAACGAACACAATTGTAATTTGTGGTATTGAAATTCGTGGATAAATATGATGACTGGTAAACAATGTAGTAATGATGCTATGATAATCAAAATATGCTCGCTGAGGTATTTCAGTTGAAGAATTATTGAAATATGGAGAACAATAAAGAAAAAATGTCTGGACCACATTGTGATTCAATGTGTACCAAAAAATACCTGTTTGTTTTCATGAACTAGCGTTGAAATCTAGTCTTGTCTTAACCGCTATGACTTCAAGTGCATTTATTATAATTTAATATTATAGATATAAAGTTCGTGAATATTTTTAATTGGAGTAGAAATGTAGCTGAATTCCCACTGTAATATACGTGGACAGTAAATTAGGACTTCTTTACGATATATCTTTATTACTTGGGAAAAACAGTAAACATTACCAATTAAGCTAATGAGTCTTTTGCAAACGACATTTAATTAATTTCAGGTTAAATAGAAATCAAAGGACATGCCTTTTTGGACGTAAGATAATTTTTAATTACCTTTATAATTTGAAAAAAAAATGGATTTATAGGGTTTTCGAAAAAAAATATGCTCTAAATTACTCTGTGAAGTAATTCGGAGTTTTATAATTAAAAAATGTTGGATATACTTAGGTAAAAGTTGAACTAAATTTTGTTAATTATATTTATCCATTATGAAAGTTTTATGAATTAATGAAGTTTATGAATCTAATTTTCAGTCGTGATTCTTTCAAACAAGCGATGAAAGAGCTTTTAGAAAAAATTTTCCTTATGTGGGTTATCTCAATGGGATTTATGGGACTGTTATTATAAAATTAAATTAACTTCTTAATTATTTGTTTACATATATTAGAAGAATTATAATTTCACCTTATAAAATTTTTAAATAATAAGTTATTTATCAAAATGGATTTATTTTCTAAATAATATACTTATTTTCATAAGTACACATAAATTTTTATTTAAATTACATTTCTTAGCTTTAAGATATTTTAAGTTGATAGAAAACTTGATATTGTGAACTTATAATTAATTAAAATTGTACGTAAATCATTTTTAGCTTCGAAACTGAGAAGATATTAATTTTACCATGATGTGTTTATTTATTTATTTTATTGTTATTTAAATTGTTGCTTTTATAATAAATTCTATAAGTCATAAGAAATTATAAGTACCTTTATTAATGGCAAATAAAATTAGTGTGTGTGTTTGTTTTTTTTTTTACAAGTAATGAGATTTTTTAAATATAATCTTTTGTTTTTAAAATGGTATAATTTAAAATTGTTCAATAAGTTTCAATGAGTTAATTTAACATGTATTTGCTTAAAATCTCTAATTGAGTCATTCAATTCTTTAATATACACGTTAACCGGATAACATGCGTTTGCGGATGTAGATTACTCAGGTCATCGTCAAAAATGTTCGTAGATACTATAACAAGATTTTTCGATGACTACTTGAATTATATAGAACATTAGTTGTTGTTTATCTTTCACCTTATTATTTTAAATTTCGAGAAATATATTTTACACGCTTAGAGACAGCAATTTTTTTTGCTAATATCTTAAAAAATTTAACTGATTGGTTAATTGTTCACAAATAAATTAGTTAAGTGAATAGATTATTTTACTTAAATATTTCGAATAGTTACTAAAAAAAACATTCCACTGTTACTTAATATTGCCGAATAGTTGTTAATAATAAATTACGTTAAAACGAGACTGTTAAAAGATTACCCGAAATGTAATTCATTTATTGCTTCATTTAAATTCTATTACAGCAAAATTTGATTTTAATTGAAAAATTCGCTTGATTTAGAAAAAGAAAGAACAGTTTTTCAAGATACTTTTTTGATAATTCGCATTCACTAAATTATAACTTATGTGCACACAATGTTGTCTTTTACCTTCAGATATTTTGTAAAGATAGTATTTTTATTTATTTATATATTTTTTATATTTGAATCGCCCCTTTTTACGAATTAAACCAAGAAATACATTATATTTTATTAAGTATGGGAAAGGTAAACTTTAGATGCCTCGAGCTTCCATCAAACCATAATTTAAATTACGTAATGTATATATTTATAAATGTTTGTGTGTATGTACATAATATCTTAAGATATTATTTGAACGTATGTTTTATCATGTAAGAAGTCTTCAAACCTTGAGATATTTATGTCCGAAGTTTACTTTTTATGATGCATACTATCACTAACATAAATCATATTTTAATTTTTGGTTTCGTATAAGGTGATGACGATTTGAGATTACCGTTGAGAGTGTCATTGACGTTCAATTAAGTTGCCTTATTATATTTTTTTGGTCAAAGTGCGAGCTTATTAACTTCTAAGATAGTAAAATGACTAAGGTCGAAAAGGACATAGAGCAGTAAATATTAGTATTTGATCGATAATTGATTAATAAAACTAATCATAATTCAACTAAAAATTTTAAAGTTATAGATTGAAAACCTAATTTCTCAATTTCGATATTGGATATTAATTTTCTAAAACGGTGAGGAAAATTGAATCATTAGTTACAATCTCTTAGATAAGTCTAGTGTCGAATTACACTACACATTTTGGTTATACAATTATTTTTAACGATTTATCACTAAGCAAATATTAAAAGCATGACACGTTTTAATCTTCAATATTTAGCAATATACTTAAGAAGTCTGATGGTGTGAACAGTGATATTATTATTTTTATTTGTGAATCATAATAAAAAAAAAAAAAAAGATTTTTATATGTTAGTATGTACTTAGCGTTGATAATGGTAACATTGTTCTCAAAATAAGTATTCGCGATTTTTAGTAATTTCTTTTGTGGTTTTTTAAGTAAAATATTTTTAATAAAGTTCTGATTTTCAATAATACTAGCCACAAGTAATCAATTTTTATTAGATGTCTACACGAGTTAAGTTAAAAAATCAACTATTTATTTTTAATTTATCTATTATTATTAATTTAATCTGACCGCACGGAAAAAAAATATTTTATAGTTATGGTTAATATAGTGACAACATAATTATACAGTTGAAAGAACTATTTTATATAGTTGGTTTAAATATATAAAATAGTTCTTGTAACCATATAATTAAGTCGTCACTATATTAACCATAATTTGGGTTGGCCCAACTTTATAGTTTTTTCCGTGCAAATGATCATTACTCAATTACAATATGTTTTTTAAAAAGTCAACTTTCCAAACGAATAAGAAGAAAAACAATGGATTTTTTATTTTTGGTTTTTATTGTTTGATTTTTCTCCAGTAATTATTTTTTATGACGAAATGCTGTCAATAAATCATGATATTTTGACGTCTTTGTTTTTAATGTTTTTATGATGGCACCCGTGACACTCGTCGGCATTCTTATTATCATTACACATAGTAAATAATAAAATACTTAAATAGATGTTGGAATTTGTGATATGTCGGTGGTACATTACTTTACTTTCTCCCGAAGTATGCTAACCAATGATTAGTATTCAGACACTTCCTGAACACAATAAAGCAAACTACAATGGATTATTAATAAAACCAATCGACGAGATCATATTTTCTTTCAACGTACGCACGTGTGCACCAACTCCATCCAAATGTTGCAACATTATATACACGAGTATGATGCGTTCGAGTATTGTGTACGAAGATGACACGTATGGAATACCTTTACGTTAAGTGTGTAATGGTAATTTATTACTAGTCAGTAGTCATAGCAGCCAGACCCACACACGCGTAAAAAAATATATGCCGGACACGACGTCTATACATTATATCACTAGCAGCTGAGCTATGATAAAAAATTAGCTCCAGTCTGTAGTGGAAAATACTGCACGTAAAAATCATCATCGTTATAATGGCCGTATAATACAACATATTACAATATAATGGTCAACCGCATTCTTCCGAACACTATTTAAACACTTATATAGATACACCCTTCTCCTTAATGCCTTCACTCTCGCCTAGCTATAGTAATTGCTGCAATCATACATACCCGACTCTTATAAAAATTATACCCATAATAGGTACAGCCTGAAAAAAAATAATTGTACCAGCGATATTTCATCGACAAACACAATTATTAAAATGTTTTTCAAATTATAAAATGTCTTAGTAAATAAGTCCAGCTTGAACATTTTTACCTGAACACATTTAACTAACGGTAAACGATATTTGTACAATCAAACTATTACGCGTTTGAACTTAAATTTTCAATTCAATGAAAAAATCAAAACGGACAATTTCAATGAAGTTGTAGGTTATTCATCATTTTATGGTGTTTTTTCTATGAAATCTAGAAGCTTAAAATTGCTGGAAAAGCTTATATATTATATTTGTAATTATTATTTTTTCAAATACACTTTTTTGGTCTTCTTTGAAGCGGTCACTGTCTATGTGTTGCCACCATAGGCATCTAAAATATGTAGATACCATTTGTTAATAATGTTTTTGCATTAAATTTGTTTCGATTAACACATTATTATGCAAGTATAATGGTATGTATGTGGCAGTCGCAAAGACGTCGAATGAGAAAATACACTGCCGCAATGAAATTCTGACGTTAAGATTACATGATTCTCTGGTGCATTTTTAACCTTGAATACACAAAAACTGTGTAATTTATTCTTTTATATGTACGATAATAATATGTGTTATTAATACACCAGATTTTATTCCGGAGAAATTCCAGGCATTCTTTTCAGATGTTTACATTCGGCTAAGTAATCTTTAAGTGTCGACCGGTGAAATGTATCCCGTAAAGTATTTTGATATTGTCTCGTTTTACTCGGTTGGGTTTGGATTATTATTGAGGAGGGGTAGATAAATATTACTTTTGATATACACTTTATAAAATTAGGTAAAATCATTAAGCGTGAAAAATATCGTCAAGTTAAATATTTCGTTTTACTTGTTAAGAACCGTCGAATAATTCGTTTTTTACCAATTAATAATTCTGCATTTAAAATAAATCTCTCTGTATCAACTCGGACTATGAAGATATCGTACGGTGCGTGTGTTTGGCAAAGCGTTTGCCGATCTATAAATCGTTTGTAGCATTTCAGTATTACACTCGTAATGAGTGGAATTATTAAAATTTTAATTATAACATGTTTAAATGTGTAATATCAGTTGCAGATAATAATACCATGTGGGCGCGCGAAATGTAGGCGTCAGGCGAGCTAGCATGCGGAGCGCCAGCACAGTGAGCGGCCCTCTACTGTCTGTTTCAACGCCTGTCAGCCAACAAAACCGGTTCGCTGCCGTCCATCTGCTCACCGGCCAATCTCTGTACTTCGTCGTTGAGGTGAGCAAATTATTATTTATTAACATTATTGTAGAACGTGCACTTAGAAAACGATTGCCTAAGATATATCGTCGAGATAAAAATCGTTACTTTTTTTATTTTTATGAATCCGTTGTAATAAACGATTCCTTTGGGACGGTACGCTTAAACATTGGCTTGGATTTGTCGATAAACGCGTATCTCATAGTTATGACGTACCGTCCAACTGTGGCAGAGTAGCGTACGGCACAACAATAGGCAATGACCTGAAGATCAAAGAAAAAAAAAACTGGAGCAAACCGTTTGTCGTGGATGTGTTGCGGAATTCGAAATATCTGCCGGACACAACAATAATATTATTACTGTGTTACGTATTACCGAAGGATCGACCTACTACGCATTAAATTGTTCCGCATGTCACAATGTAATATAATAGTAAAGATGTGTATACTGGTTGACGTCCGCTGCCATAGAACTGTAAATTCTTTGATATCTCGGCTGTTAGGGGTCGTCAAAGACTACTAACAATTTATTTGATTTGTGTTGTGATTTGATAGCAAAGGTTGTCTTAAGGGTTCCGAGTTTTAAACTTTATACTTGAAACGGCCAGTGAGAAGTATGTTAAATTCGTATTTTGTTTAAAGAGGCCTTTGATAATATTCTTTTGAGATTTTTTCATACCAACTAATGTTATTTTATTTGAATAAATTTAATTATTAATCTTTTTTTAGGGTAAATCCCGGGTAAAGGAAGTGTACTCACAACTAACAACTTACATGGTAGCTCAGGGAATGCAGGATATTGAATTGTTCGCACTGGCATTTATTTTAGGTAAGATTGTTTTATTTTTACGAACGACGCGTTCGATAAAAATTAGAAAAATTTAAGTTGCTTTTTATGTTTGTTGGTTAACTTGATAGTATGCAATTGACTAAATACAAAATTTAATTATTTCTCGCAGCAATTATTTAAAATGAATATGATTGATATTTAATTATAATGTTTACTAAATGCCAGCTAATGTGACTGATGTATAATTACTAATATATTATTTGCTTTACTAATCATGCATAATTATAATATACGGCGTATCGTATAGGCAATACAAGTACATATGTGATTAGAGTTACCTTTTATTTTTACTTATATATATATATAATTATTTTTTTAGATGATGAATATTTCTTTGCCGATCCCGATAGCAAGTTGTCAAAGTACTCTCCTAAAAGTTGGAAATCTTCTTCGACTTATGTAAGTACATTGTATACTACTAAATAACAATTATTAAAACATCTATGCTCTCCAATATATTGGATGAAGTGAAGTTATTGTAAACGATAAGGATAATTGTAAATGCATTTTTTTAGATAAATGCACATTTTTTTTCGAATTTGAATTTAATATAATAGCTGTAAACATTCTTAGAGAAATAATGAATTTACAATTACTTCATTCGTTTACCCGAGTTCGCCCTATTGAAATAACTTTTGAAAACTGAATAAATTAATTTTTATTAATAATACTTCAAAAATTTGCCATTCTGATGACATATATTTTTTTGAAAATTATATTCTTTTATCAAAGTACCGCAGAGATTTAAAAATTGTATCAAACATTTATTATTTTTGATTTATTATAATGTTTCAAAAACTCTGTCTTTTTGAAATCACATTAAATTAAAGTTAATACAATGAACTATGATGTGAATAAATATAAACACTATCTGAAATGTCAATTTCTAGGTGTTATTAGACATAAAAGCTAAAAATCATAATATTTTCTTAAAAAATGGCCGACTTTGATATGTTTTGTATAGTAATCTAATATTTACATAATTTAAAATTAAATCAAATTTAATCGTTTAGTACACGCATTTTTTAAATTTTGTTGAATAAAAGAGAGACGTCTTATAATTTTTAACCACAATTTTAATAATTTTTATACATAGGGTATGAAATAGATTAAAACAATTTTTTTTATCGAACAATATTAGTTTTAAAAATGCCATTATTCTATTTAACTGAATTCCTACTATTTTTTTTTCTATTTAGTTTTTTTATACGTTTAATCATTTAAATTAAATAATATATTATAAAAAATCTAAATTGAATGAACATTTACTAATCTACGTAGAAAAAATTACCTCTACTTTCTCAGTATTTTAACTTATATGGTGTAAAAATAATTGATTTGTAAGTCCAAGAATCCCAATAACATGATATTTTCTTCATAAATTCGTTCACTAACAATAGTTTTGACCTTATTTGTGGTTATATAAGATTTAGTTTAATTTGTTATAAATTAATCACAAAAATTCTGTCTGAACGATTTTTAATTACTTGTGCACATTTCTTAAATAATACGCTTANAGATTTAGTTTAATTTGTTATAAATTAATCACAAAAATTCTGTCTGAACGATTTTTAATTACTTGTGCACATTTCTTAAATAAAATGCTTATTTTTAATTTCTTCGTTATATCTAATACATTCGTCTTATGAAACATATTAAAATATATTATTCGCTTTTAGGGTCTCGATCAAAATGGTCAGCCACTCCTTCAACTGCATTTACGTGTTAAGTTCTACGTAGACACTACTAAGTCCATTCGGTAAGAATAATAACATCCTGAATTTCTTCATATAATACACACACACATTTATATATACAGCATGTTCAAAAAATAAAGAAACAGATCTATTGTTACAATAATGAGAACAATAGAATCCTTTTCCTTACTTTCTGAACACCATGTATTGAGTGATTTTTTTAGCATAACCTACCGCTCAATTACAGAATAAAAATATGTGTGTATATCGACATTTATATTGCAACAGTGCGTATCTCAGTTTTTCTTAATCATCAGGATAATCAAAAAACAAATTTAAATTATACACGTTTTAATACAAGAGGTAATCTAGAATAATGAGTCTTATAGAAATACACGTAGAAAATAAAAAGTGTCTAGAAAAACTTCTTTTGTCATTATTGATAAAAATCTCATTTTGTCAAATTTTGAGATACGTACTGTTAAGTATTAGCGACGATAAAACTTATTATGTTTGGTGAATTCTTATTTATCAATGTAAAATTATTTTTAGTGATGAAGTTACCCGACAACATTATTATCTTCAGCTACGCAAAAATATTGCAGACAGAGGAGGTACAACGGATGATGGTGACCAAAATGTTTTACCTTTGGTGGCATTGAGCCTCCAGGCGGATCTTGGTGATCATACGGCTGATACAGATATCTCATCCGAACTCCTTGAACAGTATCTACCGTCAAAGGTATTACTATAGTATTATTATAGCCAATTAGGATTGGCTATAAAATATAGTTATTGTCAATAAAATTGACAATAGTTTTTCTACTAATGCATTTTTATACGACGTGTTTTACTTATGAATGTTCTTGTGATGAATAGGTGTACAAAAATAGCGAACAAAAAGTGAAGCAGACGTTGAGCGCTTTACATAAAGGTCATAAAGGAGTGTCAAAAAGTCGTGCTCAGACGCTGTTTGTTCAGGAAGCTGGACTGGTTCATAAGTCTCATCTGTATCGGTTGCGATTAAATAAAACACAACCCAAACAAGCTGCTGGTACAGCTCTATCCATATGTAACAGTGTGTGGTTGGCTATTTGTACAAATGGTATACAACTTTTCCACGTGAGTGAGATTCGATGCCTTATGATAGTCAATTGATTTTGGTTAATGGTCACTGAGTTTATGGAGATTATTATTTATAAAGTGTTAATTTTAAAACTGTTTTACGTTTTGTGAATATTATTTACATACTAAGTGTCTGACATCGTTATTATTAATATGGTACATAAAAAATTTCACTCTTAACATGAATAGTAAATTTTTGTTGTCAACATAAATCAAAATATTGTTAAGTACAACCAATAAAGATAATAATAAGTACAGGAATTGTCCCACTGTTTTTATGGTAGTCATTCAAAAATGACTCCATAATGTAAACATATTCAACATATGACTGCTTCTATGCCCAGATTCTCATGTTAAAATCTCAAAACATAATTACATTCTTATTGTCTCATACAATTGTTTTACGACCGGCGTCCGTCTGGCGTTCAGTGTTATATTTAAAACTTTTTTTAGTGCAATATAGTTTCTTTTATGGAAAACCTATTCTATAAGAGTCCATTAAGTTTGATTTGTTAACATCGTCATAAATTACAAGTTGAAACAATTTATATTTTAGGAGAGTCTATCGCAAGCATTGAGCTGCCTCTTTTTGTGGAACAACATAGTCAAACTATGCTTCGATGTGAGTACAGCGGATAGAGTTGTTATAATTAAAATCATAAGGTTTAATGTAAAAATTGTTTTTAATATGTAGCGCAAAAAATTCGAGTTGAGGCCATCAAATGCGGATAGACTGGTGTACTACACAAATTCTGACGAAAAGAGCAAACGTCTTTTGGCTCTGTGTCGGGACACCCATCAATTTTGTATGACAGTACACCCTAGACTGTTGGACACGTTATTGATCAACAACACAACGGGCAAGTTTAAATGATTCAACTAAGTTAACCTTTGGACCCATTTTAATAGATGTATATTTCAATTTAGTAGATAAAAATGCCTTTGATGGGTTAAAATGGATGAACGAGAAGAAAATTAAAGTTAGCAACGCAAAAACGATAGACAGAAAGTGTGAAAACGATTCAAACTTGAGTATCTTAACTACCGATCAAAAAACGAATGATAAGGTAAATTATAATTTTGTTATTTATGAAGTAACGAATCAATCAGGAAATCGTCAGTTTATTTATGCCTTCGATTTAGTTATTTTTAATTATTTTAATTTGTGTGGTACGGATTAATACTGTTGGTTTAGTTTGGATGGAATAGACAGGTCGTTTAACAATTAAATCAAAATTATAATACTTAATAAATTATTTGAACAGTTACAGAATGGAAGTATATCGTCTAGTGTGGAGCTGGGATACAGTCATACGACTCAAAACTCAACGGTGTCCGAACTGGACTATTCGGTTCAGTCAGCGCAAGATAGCAGCGATGCGTACCTCATGTATATACACCCAAGAGCAAGGAATGCTTACGTAGAAACCAGCAATCAATCTGCTCATACCAGCAGTGGCGTCTACACGTGCCCTAGTTACAGTTCGGCGAAAGATACCACATCCGCGTCATATACTACTGAGAACAGTAGTATCAGCTATCAATCGGAAAATAAGTCTGATGCCCTTTCGCCACCACCGCCTCCACCACCGTCCATTATACCAGCTACTGACTGTACGGACTCGGCTTACACTTCATTGCCTAATGGAGATTACGAAGCGACACGAAATAGTGCCCGCAGTCCGACTGTCGCGTCAACCCGGACCGATGACGCAGATGATTGTAACCAAAGCGATGAGTATACGTTGTCTAGTCGAAGTCATAGGAGACGATCGGCCAGCGAAAGTTCTTCCTATCGAGCTACGACGGCAACTACAGTATCTGAAAATGGCATATCGTCCAAATGTGGCGACAGTGGATGTGGAAATAGATGCACTCTAGATGGTTATACGGACGACGCACCTCGTAGCCGCAGTGGATCGATGGTAAGCAATTCTGGCAGTTTTCGAGGTGATGGTAGCGACCCAACGGATGGAAGCCGTGGTGCTTTATTATCAGCTGCTGATCTGTCAGATTTAATAGTAGGACGAAAAACGTTGCAGACGCCCCGTAAAGGTTTCTACCCGTCCCGCCCCACCACCAGCTACACTCTTGATTCTGATTCGGATTACGTTACGTTACCACCACCATCCATGAACTTCGTAACGGGTGCGCCGTCGTTGTCCAACTTATCGCTGTCTAACTTCGACTGCAGTAATGGCCCGTCTCATTGTGACGTCCGACGATCGTTTGATTTCCTGTCGAATGTTAAATTCTGCAACGGTCACACTCACCAGTGCGTTATCAATGGCAATAACTATTTGGATGTTCACAAGAGTGGCACAGCTTTTTATCATCATATTTACCCGAGTTGTGTGCCGCCGCCACCTCCTCATTTGCATTCTCGACAGCCTCCTCCGCCACCGCCACCGCCGCGGCCAAAGCGTTTTGATTATCAACTAGAGCAGTACAAACAACAGTTGCGGTCAGACGTAGACTTCGTCGTGTATCCCCTTCAAGATCCAGCTGTCAGCCGACAAGAATACGCAGATGCTAAATCAGCTCGCGGACAATATCATCGTTATTACGGTCGGGACCCACCATCGTACCAAGTAAACGCACACTTGTACAGAAGCACTCCAAACGTAGCGGCTGTGTCACATCACCACCATCTACACCATCATCATCAGCAGCCTTACTGCCATCAGCAAACGATATCGGCGTTACCGCCACCTCCATTACCGCCGTTGCCACCGCATCTCAAATATGCTTCCAATCAAAATTTACAGCTTTTTCCGGCGTCAGCGACAACGAACGGTCACAACGAGTACGTACTGCCAACTCGAACGTTTTCGCACGAAAACTTATTGTCGACCGCGCCTGTGGTACCGCCAAAAGTAGTGTTGCGGAGACGACCGCCTCCCCCTCCCCCACCGGTAACCGGACTCCAGAAACCTGCGGCTGTGGTACGCCCTAGACGCGCGTCCGCCATTGTTGAACCCACACCGACGTCGGTCGCAGACACCACTGTGCTCGACATCGAATCGCTTCGCGAGAAAAGCCGCAATTTGGATTTACCGCTCATCTCGGCTTTATGCAACGACCAAACGTTGCTAAAGCAGACAAACACGTTGGCTACCGAAAATAAGTCCACTCAAACCAGCTCAGTACCTATGTCGGCCATTGGTCCTAACACTGTTCTAGTCGCGCTCACGTCTACACCCCAGTCAACAACGCCCGTGTCCGGCGAGTCAACTGTAAGTGCATCTAGGACACCGTCCAACAGCTGTTCCAAGTGTACTATGACCAACGGTTCGTTTTCTCCTGGATTTGTTTCAATCACTGCCGCCGTCGGGTCTACCACAACAAAGGTCAAATCAAATGTTAATCACATCAAAACTAATACAAATATTACGTAAGGTTAAGTTATTAATTTTAAGTGTTTAAATTATATACTTGGGGATGCAAAATTGTTAGTCGTCGAATCCAACTGCGTGTTTTGCTCGATTTATTTATTTTTTGGAGAGCGTACGTTATGATGTGAAACAATGAAAGAAGTCGCGTAGGCGTTTAAGGTGAAAATACTGCCATAAGTATAAAATAAAATAAACATAGGATTGTTATTGGAAGTAAAAAAGAGTTCGTTGAAACCGTTAAGATATTTTTACAGCAAAAATTACCGAGATTTTCTAATTGATTTTCCAGGCGCTAATAAGTTTGAGTAGACGCCAATAAAGTGAACAAAAAATTAATTTAGAGTAGACTTAAGTATTTAAGTATGGCAATTTTCGGAAATTTATTTTACTGATAACTTGTTTAAATCCTAAAATTTAAAAACAGCTTCCTTGAATACTTCAGAGCATGTTTGCAATTATTTACTTAGCTTAGATGCCTTTCGTGACGTTATCACGCGTTTACAATTTAGTAGTTCTGTTACCTTATCATTTAGTAGTATTAAAAAAAATTCGTATTAGAAAAATAACTTCGTGCCAGAGGACATTTATTATAATTTATGAACGTGTGATCGTACTTTACGTGGTTTTTTCTGGGCCAACTAAAAATCATTTTTACTTAATGTACTTGTTACGCAGCTCACTTAGATTAGTTCAATTCTAGTCAAATGAAGTTTTATTTTTAAGAAGCACAAAATGTTTTAACATAAGTACGATACACGTTTAAGTTCAAGACTTTTAAAATTAGTTGTTAAAAATTGTACAATTTATTTTACCTATGTGTCAATCTATTTTTTTTACATACATAACTAGATAGTATCACTATTTTTGTACTCGTAAGGAATTTTCTTCTTTCTTTATATAGTGTACAATAGGTAATTTTGTTTAAAATTAATATTTATGCTTTCTTATTTATGTTTCCCGTTTTCTATAAAATGAGGATATTTTATAGAATTGTAATTCGAGGACATCATGCTTGATTCATTCGATTATTTTATCTACCATGTAGATATTTATCTAAGTTAAGTGAAAATTAATATTGATTGTAGCCATAAATTAAATATTGATGTTGTTATTGAAAAATGAATAAAAAAAATGTGTTCAAATAATAGCTTATTATCTAGATTGTTAAATATGAATAATGTAATTAAATTAGCACAGCAGTGTGAAAAAGTGCCAAATAAATTATTAATTAAATAGAATAATAGTCAGTTTAATAATCCTACATTTTTTTTTAAACTAAATTGTATGCCCATTTGTTAAATGTTTTTTTTTATAATAAAAAAAATATTTTGTAACATTAAAGTTAGTTACCTAATTAATGTCTTAATCGTTAAGAACTTCCAATAGTAGCAAAATTTAAATTCTATTAAAGACTTGGAGTAACAGAAATATTTGTTTTCGAATCATATTTAGTAATTTAAAAAATATCAAAAGATTCTTTTATGATAAGTAAAAATGATAAAAAAAAACAATTTTTATTCAGGGTTATACGTTTTCTGTATGTAAGATCTATGCAAATTTATAAATTATGTATTTTATTGTTTAATTAATAAATTATAAATCAATGTATATTTTTGTTGGCCTTATTAAAATTAATCATAAAAGAAATTACAAATAATCAAAATGTTTTTATATCAAGATCAATATTTTTTTGTAAGAACTGAAAATGCAAAATAAAAATTTAATGATTAACAACAAAATTTGTCTGTTCATTCATTTTAGTCATTATTAAGTGGTGTACATTTACACACAAAACAAAAATTATTAATATCATACTTCATTATAAACACAAATAAATTTGTATTTTTTACACTTTGACAATAAGTCTTATGCAATAAAAAAATAATAATAAAATAAAATATTATATTATATATTGTATACAAATTCTGTTATATAATGTATTTATACATTTATTCAGATGATTAATTTTTTCTTAAGCTAATGTTCCCATAGGATCCCAAATTGGTAATACTTGAGGTTCTTGTTGGAAAACAACCAAAACTTCGTCAGGCACTAAACTTTTGTCTACTACAACTTCAAATACATATTCTTTGAACCATTCAGTCGTCATCATTAAGTATCCTTTGTCACCACGATCTTCACCCCAGGAATTTTCTACTCTCCATTTGTTTGGTTCACCACCATTCTAAGTTAATGTGCAGTAGAAAATTAAGATTACTAAAATCTTAATCAAATAAAAAAGTTATTAATTTTGGGCAAACACTTACATTTAAATTAACTCCTGTTAACACCATTGCATGTGTCATAGCTGATTCTCCATATAACATTCTTTCAGCTTTGGACATTGGAACAGACACATCAGTACCAAATACTAGTTGATAATTGTGACTAAATAGTTATAGTAAAAATAATTAAAATAAGTTAATTTGTTCATGAATTCACTAGTTATATAGTTAAAAGTAATACTTACATTTTAAGATCTTCTAAACCAAGTTTGTCAGAGAATCTTTTGCTTACTTGGCAGCCATACCAAACAGGTTCTCCTCGTTTAACAATTGAATCTTGAGCAGCTTTAATAAGAATTTCAACAGGCTGATTGTTGTACAAAACTTTTCTCCCACCAACCATGTTGTTTAACATATCTAAAGTATATAGTTGTCCGTAACAATTATTTGGTCTAGGATCAGAAACTAAACAGACCTAAAAAAATATATATTTCAGTAATATACTACAATTTAATGAGTAAAAGTCTAAATTTAATATAATTTTTGTACTTGACCTAAAATTAATAATATTATGATTCAATGATGTTATTTCTAATGAAAAATAACAAAAGAATTACAAATTAGATTATTATTAGTAGATAATTTTTTTTTAATTAATAAGTGTTGGTAAAGGTATAAAGTTAATAAAAAAAAACATTTGTTTTCAATAAACACTACAATTTATTTATGAAACCATTAGAGTAGTAATAAATAAATATTACACAAAATTTATTAGGAATTTCTAGAACTTCATTAACAATTAGGATCGCTAGTCTCAAATATTGGTAATAAAATGATATTGTGAATTAACAAGTTTCTTTTAACAACTAAATATTAAACTTACTTTGTTAGTTACATCAAATATTGGCTTTACATGTTGTTCATAAAAATCTAATGGTGTTATTGGTCCTATAGATTGATACTGCTTGGATTTGTCATAGTAGTTCCACTCAAATGTATTAGGAGGAATTCCAAAACAAATTCCAACAATTCGGTAGACGATTTCCATTTGTTCTTCAATTTTATTCTTAATCTCATTATCTGTGGCATGGTCACTTACAAGTTTATGTAATACAATTGCAAATTCTCTAAGCTATATAAAATAGTTAAATATTATTTTAAGGTATCCAATTAAATTGTATATAAATTAAAAATTATACTTTGCTATTTAATATAATATTAACAGTGGAACTAGTTTCACAGCTGAAAGACTCTGGGAAGTTTTTCTTTGGCATTAGTCCATACTTGGTTATAATATTGACTAACATGTCCCATTGACCTCCATCCTCAATTGGTTTCTAGATAGTAAAAAAATTATTTTATTTTTTAGACTTTAATTAATTTTAGTTTAAATATGATAACATACAGAGAGTAGGGTTGCTGTAGTTCTATCATCAACTGATTCTCCACGTTTTGCAGTTTGAACAATAGCATTCAAGAAATAATTACTTCTTTCAATCTAAACAAATGATAATTTATTTCCATTTTATTAAATTTAATAATTCACATATTGCGATAAAAAAATTAACTAATTTAATACAAATAATTGTATATTATTAAAAGTTAGAGTAAATAGCATACAAATAACATTTTTTTTTTTTAATGCAATACTACAATAAGGATTATAAAATTATAATAAAATATATTAACAAAATTTGATTCTTAATAATTATTAACGACAAAATAATGTTTACAAATGAAAGAAAAAGTATTACAGATATTCAATGACAATAGAATTACATAATAGCTAGGACTAAGTAATCTGTCTTAAAATATTTTCCATTAAATGTTCAGAAGGAATCATTTTTTTTAATACAACCATATAACAGGTCAAGATTATCCAAACTATACATATTTTTGTTTTTTTATTAATTCTAAATTACTAGTAAATTAATAAAAATAAACGTACCTTATCCCAAAAAAATACAAAAGCTTGACTGAATTCAAATTCTTCCAGATTAAAATGCTTGATAAATGGAACTCTTATCACATTTAAGCAAGCAAATATCCAACAGCGACCAGAACTTCTTTGATTTGTCACAGGTTTTCCTTCAGACTCAATCTAATAATTTAATTGATTACATAAATATACAATTTATTTTTCAAATTATTTATTGATATTACCTTATGGGAATAAAAATGGTGGCATTCTTGTACTCTATCCCTTGATGTAATTACTTCTGTTGGACTAACTCGAGAACAAGCATTTTGAGCTAATATGTTTTTGGAATCATTATAAAAGGCTTCACGATATTTTACAATATTTGTTTCATTAACAGTGGCTAAAAAAAATTAATAAAATAAAATGAAATACCAATTTGTGTATATGACAGTAATAATTTATTAAAAGAAAAAACCTATTTTCACTAATTTAACTTAGGAAATAACAAATTAAAAATATTTAAGAATATTAAACTAAGATATTTTTATGATATATTTACGATTACCAGTTATAAATAAAATACACGTAATTTCTTTAAATTATAATATATAGCTTTTGTAATGATGATGGAAAAATGTAGGAATGGAGAATTCGAAAACACATTTCATAGAGAAAACAATATATAAATACATTATTCAACCTTGAAACTTCCCAAATACAACAAAACAGAATTTATGCACAGCTACTCCTAACAATTTATCAAAAGAATCATGTTTTTGATGCTTCTAACTAACAAAGACAGTGAATATTGACATCTAGATTGTATCTTGCTATTCTAAGTATAGTTCTTCAATGTATTCCATTGGACACAGTAACGGTAAATTAGCTTTATTATTAAATGTTTTTCATTCCATGACATCAAAGAAGCCACTTTATTTTTGCTTATAATTTTATATATTATAACAACAGAAATAACATATGTTACACAGAAATGTGATTATATTACTTATTGAAAGTATTTAATCATTTTTCAAAATTATCAAACATTATACACGTGTTTTATTTTAGAATTTTAACTTTTTTTAGTTATATATTGTATAAAATCATTTTGTAATATTGTTTATTTTAAAGTGGTAAATAATAAAGCATATAAAATTTTAATTACAAATGCTGGGATTTAACTTTATTAACAGTAAGTATTAATAGATTTGGCACTAATAAAAGTATGATCACAGACAATCGAACAATATGTAAAAGGTTATGTTCAAGAACATCTAATATTAAAAAAATTTTAATTAAAACTTTAATTTTTTTTAAATTATATTGAAAATTCTAAATGGTCTTCAGAAGTGATAAACAGTTTTTTTTTAATTTTTATTATATAAGTTAAAAAAAAAAAATGGTTGTCCTTTACACTAATTATGGTGATATTATCTGATATAACTCAATCTTTAATATAACTAATTTTGGTTATATGACACAAAATAATAGATGAAAATTCTTAAAAGAAAATCTTAAATACTATAAAATTGAATTAAAAAATTATTATTAGTATTATATAGAACAATGATAATTTTACAATAATAAATTGCAGATTCATTATCAGCAGTTATTATCAACTATGGTTGAAGAGTAACAATAAATAATATTTGAGTGATTTAGTAAAATATTGAAAAAATATCATTTGATATTAAGGAACGCAGGCCTAAATTGTTAATTATAAGTTCTACGTTTACTTCTGATAGAAAATTTTATAAAATTATTAATATTGTCACTATATAATTACATAAGATAACTTATAAAAAAAAGGAAAATTCACTTTAGTGAGATGAAAGAAATTTTAATGATGAAAAAGTTGAGTTATGTCTAAAATGGTAGTATGGTACAATAACAGAGTGAAATGAATAGGAGAATAAACATAACCTAAATGTTTAAGTTATAAATTAATTAAAGTGTGCATTAATAAGATATGTAATGTATCATTATTTTAAATGAACATTAATTTAATGAATAAATAAGGTTTTAAAAGAGAATCATAAAAAAACTATACTTTGATTTATATGTAGTCATTCAAATATTATTAGTTAATAAAATAATAAGTTAAATAGAATGAATTGAGCAATCGATATCATACATGTAATCTTACATGCGAATCCTTTTGGACAGGATGAAGAAGAGAATAACAAACGGGTAGTGAGCCGCCTGAGAGCCCACACGGCCATTCGAGAATACTTACACGTAAACGTTTTGGACATTTTAAATTTGCTATCAAATTTTTTATTTTGAAAATCGGTGAATCTTGAGGGTCGCAAATGTAGTTGTCGTGGCGGACCGTCAGTAGACACAACCACAGTGAAATACACAAACGTGAAATGCCTGAAAAATCACAAGTTTCACGTCTACGAACTGTTAACGACACGGGGTTCCACTGATCTGTGTGTTCGAGTTTATTGAGTTATGTGCTATGTATATGAGAACGGTACAATAGAACGCATACGCACACAACAACGTTGGCAAACGAACCCATATCGGTATGGAGAGGGAAAACCGAGGCGTGTTTACTGAGTAGGTACTGACACCGGCGACCGGCATTGTACGTGGAGGCAAAAACCTGTCTTGATAGGCCGAAATTCCGATTTTCAGAAACTGCTGATATTTAACACAATTGAATGAGTAATTGAAAATAGTTACTATTTTTATCACAGCAACTTACAGTTTTATTGCATGAGATAATATTGTCAGATTACCTGCCTACAGTACTTGTACGATTCTAATTCAACCGAAAGTTTGAAATTGTTACAAAATACGATTTTAGATTACCGCATACCGTTTTTCATATTTATATGACATAAAATCTAAACACTATTATTAAATCAGTTTTCTTATTTGTTTTGACATTAGATGTGCCATATATTTGAATAGTAGTGAAGTATGTATATATTTAGTGGTCTTTTTAAGACATTATAATTGCAAGCACAAAAAGCATTTTTCGAATCAATATCTAGTGAAAGTAGAAAGGGTAAAAATATAATCAGCTAGGCAAAATTGATATCGTCTAGTTTAAAAAATGCACTGTAATTTTTAAAATGTTATAGATATTAATTATTTGTGCACATACTTGAAATAAGTTAGCAACATTGTTGATTGTCGTCACTAGTTTTCAAATACAATGAAAATGACAAAACAGAGACGATAAAAATTTACTTGATTAGTGTTTTCAACTTAAATATTTTTTTTAAAGTCTTCGAAATTGTTGCTTAGCTGCGATAAAAAGACTTAAATTTTTTAATAATAAAATAACTTAATAACAAATCCATTTCTAAAATTATGATTTTCTTTAATGGTCATTAAAGATGGCGATAGTTATCATTCAAGTAGTTCTTCATACCGTTACAATAAGTACCATTTATGGTAATTATTTTCATCTAATATATATTTTAACATTGAAAAAATTGCATAAAATATAATGGCTATTCATTTTTCATTAGTGTTTTTTTATGATTCATTTTTTAAGTAGTATATAAGAAAAAGTTATATTTCTTAGTAAATTCATGAATATAAAAAAAAGACTTATGAAAATATATTGGATATTTTTTTAAGGTTAATTCTTGTATAACTTGATGCATTTATATTATTTCTACTCGAATAAATATTACTAAACTAAATAATTAGTTTAAATTTCATTAAAATATAATATTTCTTGACCCTTATTCACTATTAAGTAACTTACAGAATCAGATTATTTATAATCTTAGTTAATTATTTAGGACTCTATTTTACCGGAAAACTAATAATTAAAATTCCGACCAACTTAAGCACTTTCAAATTTCTAATCAAAATCTTATAAAATGAATCGTTTTTACAGAGAGTGTACAAGTTGAAACGAGTATTATAAATCATTTTTAATAAAAATATAAAAAAACCTTAATAGTACCCCTTATATAAATTCAACGGAAGTTTATAGTTTGGTTTTAGTAAACAACACACATGAAATTGCTGTGAAATTTTTTTTTTATTATAACTAATTCACCCACGACACTGAACTCAACGTAAAACTTGTTTTGAACTGTAATTCTAAGAATCTGATTATTACTGTACATTTATAACGTGTTTTATAACACAATTTATTATATACATACAAATAGTCACATGAAAAAAACAACTCATCTAAGCTACGATAATTAAAGAAATTTATAATGCATGTAAGTATATATATACAATGTAGATGNCATACAAATAGTCACATGAAAAAAACAACTCATCTAAGCTACGATAATTAAAGAAATTTATAATGCATGTAAGTATATATATATACAATGTAGATAAAATTGATTACACTTTCCTTATTATAAACTACAGTAATTTTTTTATAAAAAGCTTATAAATTACAGGTAAATGAGGAAGTTTTTGTGTCGAGTTAAGCATTAAGACGGTTTCTTACATTTAAAAGTATGGTTATTATTTTAGTTATATTATTGATTAATTTTTCATAGTCAAGTATTTTCATTGGTTAATATTTTATCATTTCTGCTTTAACGTTTTACAGTTGACTTGTTAAATTTATAAACTAACGCCAATACGTGCGAAATAAGTTTAGATTATCTATCCACGATAACTAAGACTAGGTTAAAGACACATTAAATGGTCATCTATTATCTGCAAGTTTACAAATAAAAAAGTTATAGGTTTTAATTTTATTGTAAGCAAAGAAAGAATATTACAAGGGTTAATAAAATTTACCCAGAAAGTATGAAATTGTTATTTTAGAAATATATCTAGTAGAACATATTATATAATATTAAATGACTTTAACCGTGAAAAAATCGAATTTTTTTCTTCGATACGAGTCAAAAAATGATTTGAAGTATTATCCATTTTAACTTACACACGATGAAGGTATTATTTTGTTTATTATGTTTGTTTAAATTTATTAAATTGTATTTTCTGCGGTAGACGCACAATAATAGGTATATAAATATTCAGATGTTCATAGTTGATGTACTTAGTTTATTTTGAAATGTATAAATTATGCATCATTATTACATTATAATGTAACTAATAAATACATATAATGTCTTACATTATATATAACTTCCTTTACCTATAATCGGCTTATTTTAGAGAGGATTAGAAATGCTTAGTTAACTAACTTCGTAATCAGTTTAAATTATGTATTTTGTAATGATAATCTTGAAAATTTTACGCGCTAAGGGATGTATATTGTTCAATTTCTAGGGGTGCATTGTGAAGTTAAATGAAGAACAGAATTCTTATAAAAGACGGCTATTGATTGCAACAAAAAAAACCTTTTGATACTTTAAGATATACTTATGTTATTGAGTTAATGGAATATTACTACAACATAAAATCTTTGATATGCTACTACTTTACTTATGTGTATGGTATATTTTTGGATATGTACATAATTAATAATAGCCTAATACACCCAATTTATATATAAATGGAAGCGCAAAAGAATTAAAAATATTAATAAAATTCTATTTTTATTAAATCTTCTGTCGGATAGATTTAATTACATTTAACTGTAATTCAATGTTTGTGTATGAAGACAAGAAAAAACCAAATCAAATTAGTGGAACAAAATATAATCTTTTTACTTGAACAAGAAGATATGAGTAATTTATACAAAAAATGAATATTAAATATTAATATTATAAATAATAATAGATCTACGTATTATATACATTAATATATTCTGTTAAGTTAGTCTAACCAGCCAGTATAAATTTTTATTGACTTAAAAACTTAATAATGTTATTTTCAGATGTTATAGTTTTAGGGTAGTTAAGGAGTTTAATCCACATCTAAAGCAAAATATATTTCTGTGTTACTTTTTAATTCATAGCTCTGATAATAATGAACAACATAAGCATGAGCGCAAATTCAACAAAGTTTATGTAGTAGCTTTTTATTTTCCTCTTCTCTAAAATTTTTTTTAATAATATTAATATTTTTGATGAAGTTTTGGAAGAGCTAACCTCTTTAAGCACCTCATTGCATATATATTTAAGTAGTAAAATTTTCTGTTCATTTTTATTTTATGACATAAATTAATCTAAAATAATTGACAATATAAACAGATAATGATCTTAGAAAATTTAAATAAATAACTATGTTCTGAAAAAATTCTTAATATTTATTTTTCATACAAAATATAATTTTATCAACACAAATTATAATCTTTTTAAAATTAATACATATTTATATACATAATATTTTTTTTGTCTATCTTTAATAATTGTAGCTATTACAACTACTTTATTTTTTAACAGTTTTAAGTTGCATACATACATTTTTATCTTTCTATTTTCAGTCAAAAGGGAGCACAACAATATATAATTTTTCATTATTTTTGTAACATTACCATAATATTTTTAGTATTACTATATTTAGGAAATAATTTATGATAAAAAAAAAAAACAAATCTCTTAAAAATTTAAACTAAATTAAAAATTATTAAGGAGCTAAATACTCACAGTGAAAGTAAAAAATAATAAAAATGATAATCATACATAAAACAAAAAACAAATAAAATAATTTCATATAAATACAGGAACTTTTACAATTTAAATATTTTTTTTTAAATACATAAATAATGTAATCTAAATATTGACACAATGGCAAGATAATTAGGATAAAGGCGTATTATACACATTTAAATATAATTGGTATATCTTTAAGTTACTAAGAAGTTGTTACATTATTCTCTATAGAAAAATAATTAAAATTTAACAGCTGCTTTATAAATGACAAAAACTAATAATTATTTTTACATAAAATACGAAGATGAAAAAAATTATTAAGAATAACAAAAGATAAAAGGATTAAAAATTAATTTTTAAGAATATTATCAAAAGACCTTATTAAATAATGTTCTTTTCTTGTACAATATTTACATTGTTTGAGAATTTTTCAAATATTTATGCTTTTAGCAGCAAAAAATTACTTTAACATTGTGTTGTTATGAAAATCAATTTCATTTTAAGTAGAATCAATAACTAAGATTATAATAATATCTATAATACAGTAATATTTTAAAGTTAATGTAAGCAAATTTCTATGAAAAATAGTGATAGCAAATTAAATAATGTAATAACATATACATGAAAACGTAAACAACAAAATCAGTTAAATTAATTAAAGTTATTTAGAAAAATAAGTCTTTTAAACAAAATGTTAAAATGAAATGTACAACAGTCAATAGTAACAGATTTTATTTTACACAATATAATTTGCATAGAAAATTAAAAACAATTTTATTAACAAAGGCATTAAATATTTAATTGATTAGACAATTTAACTGTTAGTTAAGAATATATACAAAAACAACTAAGAAATATATATATATTTTTTTAAGTAAATGGGTTAAAAGAAAAAAAAATGATAGTCTTTTAATAGAGTTCAAAATATGTTTCCTTAATGCATATATTACAACCATTTACTTTCAGCGTACACAACCAGAAAATAATATTTTTTAATTCATGTGCCAATATTAAACATTAACAACGTATACACAAAATATTCACCATATAATAATTTGAAAAATCAAAACATCGAATGAAAAAAATAAATATGTATGCCAAAGAAAATAAATGCATAAAATATCAAGTCATTTCTTTATATAAAAAATGGTAATTCATTAATGGAAGTACAAAAGACGAATATTTTTCTAACAAATCACTAATGTTTTCAAACTTCAGTTCCGTCTTCTCCTTCATCTTCAAATAATGGGCCACCATTTTTTTTCGGTTTTGGAGGCGGTTTAGGAGGTACTTTTCGCTTTACGCTTGTTTGGCTGGCGGGCTTAAGTACACCTGTTTCAGGCGTGCCCACTCGGCTAGGCGCCCAGCTACTCCTATTCCGCGAGTCCATATCTACTATGGGAGAATAGTTGGGAGGCAATGAATTATTACTATCATTGTTCATCTCACCAGTTTGTCTGATGACATTTATTTTATCTGGAGATCTAGGGGCAGGCGATGGAACTCTGTCCAAATTCGTGTCCAATCTCGGCATAAGAGCGTTATTATGATGTAATTTGGTCTTGTGTGGAAGTGTTTGACTGTATTGCGGAGTGGGTCTGACCAAATTCNTGTGTGGAAGTGTTTGACTGTATTGCGGAGTTGGTCTGACCAAATTTCCTGTCGACTCGGCCACAGCTTTATTTAAAGACAAGACAGAACTACCATCGGCAGTAGTTCGAGGGCCTAAATTATCGTAGACTGGTTCGCATAAACGAGATAGTGGATCGTCGATCGTAGTTGCAGTGGAACTGGCCCAACTAGGAACACGTGGCCGTCTAGGTATGGTCACGTATCCTGCGGGTGGCATCGATGGTCTTGGATTGAACGGCGAGTTGGATCGGTTGTAAGGCAGTGTGCCGGAATAGATGGGACTGTGCAGTGGTGACTGGAAGGGTGGAATCGACGACACCATACTGCCAGCCGGCGAACTGTGGCCGCCACGAGGGAACGCCAGTAAATCGGGCGGGTGTGTACTTTTACGGTACGATCTGCCGTCGATGCTTCCCAGCTCATCTCCAGACTCGCCGAAACACTGATCGTCTGCATCACCTAAAATTACAAAACGCATCACCTAATTATTATAAAACAAAACCGCAAAGCGAATAAATCATTAAATAATATTAATATATATTAAAAAAAAAAAAAAAATAGAATATGGAAAGGGAAGCTGTTTTAAGGCGTCAAATCATTTATCATTAGTTCACTAATTTAAACGAAAAAATTAACATTAACAACGGCATTTTTAGAAGCGTTTTAAAACTCCTACAGATCATGCGAACAATACTTTGGATGAGGGCGTCAAATATCATCTAATGGCAGTATAATTAACTGTAAAATTATTTCACAGCTTGAGCATCAACATGTTAATAACAAAATGATGGGAATTTATATCGTCTCATAAATAGTTTATTGCGGAAAACATTGAACGATCGGGTATTATAGCTAAATACTTCTTACGGATCCGCCAGTAACGGGTAAATCACGCTTGACCTGATTCGTGATTGGCGAGTCGGCCAAGTGAACACTATTTATCTATTTTATTTCTGACGTATAATCTGTTGTTGGTCCGGTAAAAAAATATTAAATCGAGATGTTAACAAAAAACTGTTAAATTCATCACGTTATTGTTAAGTGAGACCCGGAGAGAAGACGACGAAAACCATTTTAGAATATTTATCAACGCATTTAACGACATAATCTGCTGTAAAATAATCGTACACATATAATGTGTTCAGAAAGTGATAAAAGTGCCGAGGAGTTAGTGACATACTGTAACGTAATCTGTATGTGCTGAATGTGAGAGAATAACGAGAATCTAGAAAGACACGTCGTTAGCGCATCATGACAGCTGGTAAAACGATTAACGACAAGACGTTTAAAGTATCAGTCTCGAGTGAATGCTCGAGAGGCAGCACATCATCACTACCGTGTCGATATGTCGGGCTGTTGAGAATTTTGCGTATACCTCATAAATTCCTGGTACTATTTTCATGACCACCTCGTTTCGCAATCACACGACAATTAAGTTGCCTATACTAAACCCCTAATGGCTTCACTACGGGGTAGTGTTGTTATCGACTTTATCTGTACAAATGATTATTTTCAATTATTATTGACAACTTTCAATAATAATTGAAATAATCTTATTTCTCGCATTTGGAAAATAAACAGAAATTATTCTTTGGTTTCAGAAGTATTTAATAAAAATAATGAACCGAGCAAAATGAAATTATAAAGTCAATAAATATTTCGTACAACTTTTTCGATTAGTATAAATAAGCTTTTTTTTTTTTTTTGACAGGGAAAAAAATCGGATATTTCAATACGAAGCTGAAAACAAACTTTTTTTCAAAGGTAATCAAACGTAAAAAAATAATTGAATTTAATAACGTTATGGACCTATCCAACGCAATCAATCAATCAGACTGCCCAATCAAACAACAAGCTGTTTTGTTTCCATAGGGGAACACGATGCCAGTAACAGAATATACGTGTCATAACTATTGTTGGTGAATAGAACACACCACCACATCACAGTGACTGACTAGTGTTAAGGTGGTAATTTGAAATTATTTTACAGCGATTCGAGTATGCTTTTGAGAGGGTATATAATCTGTACGTTGAAAGCATATTACACAAAGAAAATAATNAGTGTTAAGGTGGTAATTTGAAATTATTTTACAGCGATTCGAGTATGCTTTTGAGAGGGTATATAATCTGTACGTTGAAAGCACATTACACAAAGAAAATAANTGTCATAACTATTGTTGGTGAATAGAACACACCACCACATCACAGTGACTGACTAGTGTTAAGGTGGTAATTTGAAATTATTTTACAGCGATTCGAGTATGCTTTTGAGAGGGTATATAATCTGTACGTTGAAAGCATATTACACAAAGAAAATAATTTTTTTTTTTTTTAACCGTTTCTCGGTTATACCAGAAAATATAATGTTACATAACGGTAATTGTGAAATTTTTGGTATAGTGCCGCCGACCTGTGGTTTTGGTTGCGCGTACGGCGTCGTTCTTTCATGTTGTTAAGAGTTATACTTTGCGTGTGTCCTTAACATGTTAAATAGATTACGGTATTACACGTACAAAGTGTATGTTTAATTTATATATATATATATGCCATCAGGAAAGATAAGTTAAATTTTAAACTGAATCAAGACATGCGATAGGTGGAGTTTGATGGCGGCAACTATGGAATTTCTCTGTCTCGGAGAATAACGCTGAGCATATTCTGGGGACATGAAATATTGCGGATTCCAAGGACTCCGTACGTGCGGTTTCACTCTAAAACTATTTACAGTCCGAACGATATACATTTTTGACAAACAGAAATAAAATATATTGCCAACTCTACAGGATTGATAACGTGCGGCATACCAAACACACAAACAGAAAGACGCACACACGAGTGATGGTCGTCGGGTACTTTTTTACCTATCGTTTTTGCTTCAGGAGGTAAAAAGACGCGGGTCATTATCAGCAGCAGACCCAAACTGTGGAACCGCCTCGTGACACAGTGCGCTGGAATTGTAGAGGATCGATCGCACTCAGTACGTTACAGGTCGTCGTCTTCGAGCAAGTGGAGATGATGGTTCACTGGTTCAAGAATGAACGAGTGTATATTAAATTGTTTATCTTTATAAAAGTCCTAAGAGAAAGGTACGTGGTGGTCGAGTGCAACGAACTCAATTTAGATTATACACGGGAAAAAATAATCGTTTGGGCAACCACTAATATGATTCATTGTATTATATTGGACACGACAATGAAGTCATGTTAACCCTTAAGTTTATCGTAACAAAAAACATGAATCTAAGTGAACTTGTCACAAATTTCGTTGTCACGAATAATTTTTTTTAATATTATCGCAAATTTTTTTCCGTGTACACGCTATCGTTTAAAGTTATAAATATATTTAATCTGTTTTAAACAGCCGACCAAGACCTTTAGAGTTGAAATTTCTCCGAGATATATACCAAAATAATATATTCAGATACTAACCACTTATAGACGTTTCGTCCAACAGGTTTCTCTTGAGTTCTGTCATCTCCGTGCCGGTGGGCGACGATTCGTATCGCCTGGGCGGCTTTTGCACGGGATTGACCACAGCCAACAGACTTTTCTGTTGCTCGGATGGTTCGGAAACAAGCGAAGTGACGTGTCGATTGTTCACGTCGCCGTTGGAGAACCCGTTGGCATGCGATTTCTTAGACTGCATCGTCAGCGGCCGGCGTCGAAAACAGCACAGACAGCAAACGATAAGCAGCAAAATGATAATGAAAATCCCGGCCACCAAGCCCACTATGATGGGTAGCGACTCTTTGATGCTAACCGCAGTGCCCAGAATACCCTTACCGCTGCCGCCCTGTGAAAAGTAAAATACTAATGCCCATCCAACAGAAATATATGTATAAGGGCATACTTGAACTGTAACGGTGATTTTTCGCTCGTCTATCCCGGCGGCGTTTTGAGCGATGCACTTGAATTCGGATTTGCCAATTAGTCTCGACCGGGACACTGTTAGGTTAATCCATTTGGCCATGGAATTGTCCATGCTCTCGTACACTGTGAACTTGTAATCACCGTGCGAGTAATTCGATATGGGTCTGTTGTTAAACACCCACTGTACCCCAGGCATTGGTTCGCCGTCTATCTTACAGCCAATGGTCAACTCGTCGGTTTCCAGTTCGAACGTCGAACTCTGCGCTGGATACAAAATTATTGGCTGACAGGCGAACTCGTCAGGCTTGATCTTACTCCACTGTTTGTTAGCTAATCTGGCAGGTTCGGCGCACGTGGCTTCTTGGACTGAAGCCGCTTGCCCGTTCATGGCCATGGCCTAAAACAAAACGGAGAGTTATTATTTGCTGTAAAAATATTTAATAAAGGTTTAGATCAGTAGTTTATAATTACACGAACCAAATTTCTAAACGGCCGAAGTTTACAATCGCATCGCCAAGGGTTGTTTCTGATGTCCAAGTTGCCGTTAGCTAGACTGGGTATTGCCGCCAACACTTCATACTTGACGTTGGCCAGGCTGTTGTTGTTTAATATCATTGTGGTGAGTTTTGGGAGGTTGAAAAACGCCTTGGTCTCGATTTGAGATATCAGACAGTCGCTGAAGTCGACGGTTTGCAGGAAAGACATGTTACTGAACAGACCGTTGGGTATCTTTTGGATGGAGTTGCGACCCATAAAGATCCTCCTTAGGCGGAAAGCGTACCGGAAAATGTTGGGGTGCACTACGTGTATGTTGTTTTCAGAAAGGTCGAGTTCGATGAGCACTTCCAAGCCGCGGAACGCATCTTTATCTACGGATTCAATTGAACAATTCCGGGCTATGAACTTATGTAGGTTGATCAAGCCCACTGATTTGAGCGCGTCCGCGTACAGCTCCACAATGGTGTTGTGCGATATGTCTAATACTTGTATCACCTCACTAAGATTGCTAGGGATACTCGTGTAGGACGCGTTGGTGCAGTCGGCCGTCTTCAGGCCACTTATCCATCGACACTTGCACATTTGCATGTTGCATGTCATGGTCCAGTCCAGTTCTGTCTCGGAATGAGCTACATGTGACCATAACAACACGGCCGCGCCGATAAGCCAATACAAGCCAACCATTATTTACTCGTAACATCTACAATGATAAAAATAAAAACGATAAGTAATGAGATCGATTTATTTATGTTTATTACTATTTAATTATGGATGGCTATCCATAAATTACTATAGCTATAAGAAAAAACAATTAATATGACAATGTTGACTGTAGGTGTTCTATGAACCGTGATCGCGTGTTAAGTTTAAAATTATAATCATAGTACTTAGACATGTTAAACAAAAACGTTCCATAGAAAGCTCGCCTGTCCATCATTTTGTTTATTTATGTTATTAAAAGTCAAAAGCGATACAAATCGATAATAGATTACTATTATACCGAAAACACTATTTTATTAATGTGTGGCTCTATAAAAACAGTTTTTAACGCCGGCGGATAAATAATTAATTCGAAAATAGTAATTGGAGAAACGATAATAAATATTGTCATATAATTATTTTAAAGTTAAACAAAGTATGATCAAATAATTTAAAGGTGAACACACTTGAACACATAATTACTTATCCACATAAATAGTTAGATAAAGAAACTAGAGTAATCATGGTCAAACTATAAATCTTTATAGGGGTGGGATGGGGTTGTAATGAGCAAATTTGCCAACAGCTCTTTACGTAATTTTTTTTATGATTAATAAAAAAAAACAAAAATTTAAAATTACATTTCTATTCAAGTCTATTTTAATTTGTGGTAACTGATATAATTCATGGTAATTCGCCCTGATGAACGGTAGTCAGTAATAAATTATGAGACGTTTTAAATTTATAAATTTTTTTAAAAGATGTTTTAACTTTAATAAACTCATTTTAATACCTTTACGTTAAAACCAAATGTCACATAACATAAAATCTCATAACAATTCACATCAATTCAGATCTGTAAAGTACTTGAGTTAATGTATCTATTTACAGAACATTTTGTATTTGAATTATTTTTTCTATGGCATTTTAAGAAGTATTAAAAATAAGAACTTTTAGAAATATAATCATAACGTTAAATTTTCTGAACATTCTAATAATGTTTCTCAAAACTTATTTTTGAGTGGAAGAATGTGAAAAAAAATTTAGGAGAAAAATGCTCTTGCCAGTCCATGACAATTATTCATTTTAAATTTAGCGTAAAATAATAAAAAATAAAATTGTTTTTTTCTTTTTACATATATTCTATGTATCGACGTTTCTATGATAATATTGCGGTTTTCGAAATTATTTAGGGGAAAGAAAGAAAACAATTTTTTTACATAGCTAACAATGGAAATAGGTTTTTTAATATTCAATAATCTAAAAAAATAATAGAGATATTTTATCCTAAAGATGCTTAAAAATATGCGTCCATATTATATGTATGCATTTCTCGAAAAATAAAAAAATTCAAAATGTTGTGTAACGCGAATTTGGCATTAAGATGACGATATATAGATGATTGAAATATTTTATGTTTTTATGAAGTATTTGTATTCGAGAACAAATTTTTAACGGATAGAGTATTTTAATATGTATAATATATTATATTTGATATGTATATTTTAATATTTTCCATGTTGTATCAATATCTGTTTTTAAAATACGTTTCCAAAGTATCTTTACAGGTCTGTATAAAATAAACATTTTCGTAATGCAGTTGTATAACAGATACATTAATGTTGACACTATAAACTGTGGTCATCAGCTGCAGTTCGTCTGGTAGCTAGTGATCATTCCAAACGAAAATAGTATAATAATTACACTGTCTAGTTATTACAGCGTTGTACACGAACAAATCACGCAACACATTTTACACATAAAAATCGTACGGAAGTGTTTTCAACTTTTCAACATTTATTACATGATTCATTAAAAATTAATGACACTTAAATTATTATCATATGCCTATTTGACGCGACTTATTAACAAAACTGCCGTTTACAAAACTTCAGTTTGCCGTGAGGATGTTTCGCACATACTATCCTAAAATGCGGGTCCATATGGTTTGAATTGGTCCTGAATTCTTGTTCATGGAATTCAAGAATTTTTATCAGGATAGATAAAAGTAAGTGTTTTTATGAGTTGCAAATTGAATAGATTGCTAGTCGTGAATCACAGCACATTTAGACGGAATTAGAAGAGAATAGAAAAGGAAAACAACTCCCACGAGGATTAACTCGGTTAGATGTCGAATCTCATCCGTTCTGTAATATATTTGCATATCTGTCTGGCACCGACGTAAAAATAGTTTTTAAATAAAGTATTGATGGTAGAGAAACAATGTTAGAAAAAAGGGGTGAGGTGTAAATGTATAAAGCAATCATTATAACTACGGATACATATCAAGTAGATAAACTTCAATTCGAGCTTTTTAACAAACTATGTCAGAAAGAATAAAACATTCGAATACATTTTAAAAAGTATCCAGGTATTTTTTCAAAACGGTGAAAAACCAAATAACGTGATAAAACTATGTATTTTTTAGTGCAATTGGCGGGTGACGCGATAAAAGAAAAAACTCGTCTGGATTTGTGTTTGCTTAGCACGAGAGTTTCATTAATCGCGTAATATTCATGTTAAATTACGAAACGCCACAGGTATAAGAGTAAAAAACTGAATATAATTACGTAAATGATAGAAAAAAATCAAAGTGAAACATGAAATTAGTTTACACTTACACGCTAAGTAATGTTGAATTCAGAATTTTTTTTCTAAAAAAGGGGCTCGAGGCATTTTTGCATGTAGAAAAAGATATTTTTGTCATATTCTCTTAAAATTACTACAAAAAAAGGCTGATGAGCTAAAAAAAAATGAAATAAATTGAATTTTAACTCAATATTATTAAACGAAACATTCGTCAATTGTCATCCTCAGAAGGAGTTTATTGAAATGTCAATGGGGTTCCAGACCCTTGAAGTATACCTGAATTTAACACCGAATACAAGAATGATATAAATAAATATTCGTGTTGACTAAGTGTTCTGACTTCTAATAACAACACGATGTTATCGGTTTTTAGAATTTTTTTCCAAGAGTTGGAAAGTTAATGTTTTGATTAAAAAAAATCTACTGCAATATCATTAAACGCAAACATATATTAAGAAAAAAAAAAAAACATCCTATTAAATTAATTCATATTAAACAAAATAAACCGAAATATTTATCTAATTAGTCACTCTAATTAAATAAAATGATGTCAATGGTAATGCTGTGATCAAGAACGACTATTTTGCTTTAAATACATTTTTAATTCGATTAAATTTAATGTGTTAAAAAACTAATAACGTGGGACACGAGCCTGACAATGACAAAATTCATTTATTCAAAAATAAACACTAATTTTACCGCACAATCACAGCGGTCATTAAAAATATAACCTATTGTTGGTAACCAAAAACTTTGTGAGAGTAGAGCAATAGAAATTTATTATAAAAACGTTACATGTACATCGAACACAACTTTTATTTTAAAAGTGAACATTTACAATATACCGAACGAATGCGTTTTTAATGTTATTAAAATGAAATATTTACAAAAATATTTTACGGGTTAAAACAATAGCAATTTCAAATCGAGTTTAAATTAAAACCGCATTTTCATTTAAATAAAAAAATACGTACATTTATATTGGAAAGAAGATTACAAGACTAATTTTATGTTGAAATAAAATAAAACAATAATAAACCAGAGTAATGTAATTTGGTCGATGAAAAAAGAAAGAAATGAATGATTTATGAAACTTTCAGATTGAATAAAATATTTTTGATAAATAATAAATTTGTATAATTGCATTTTGTTATTTATAATAATTGAATTTATTATGGACAAGAATATCTTACCAGTAAGTAAGCAAACAAACCGAATTAAACTATAAATTTTTGATTTATCAGGCACACAACTTTTGGTAAGACAAAAAAATATTTTATGGAATAAGTACAAATATGTACTCGTGTAATAAGAAATAAAAGAATAAAGAAATACATAACCGACTCTGTAGTACTGTCCCTTAAATAATAATGCTGAACAAATTTCATGGCATTTGTTTAAAAGAAAAATTAATAAAGACAAGGTAAAAGAAGCAATGTGCTTTTGTGACAAGTGTATTCATTTTCAAATATGCTCTGCTTATTTGACTGTACGATTTAAAATAACTTAATGGACTAATTTTCACATGATAATTCGTTTGGAAATGAGAAGTTCACATTCGCAACTACTAGACGATATTAACAATACTGAAAAACAATGATTAATATTCCAATGGCAACACTGACAATGGTTGTTCATTAACAAGCTAAACTCTAATTGACCTATGACGATGAATCCAGGACTAATAGTTATACTGTCGTTTGATAAGAAATGATTTAACCTAAAATGTTGAATCAACACTTGTGCACACTTAATAGTCATGACTGTCGAACATGATAAAGACAAATAATGAACATTTCTATTGAGTTACACAATAACAAAGTTCAATTAAGACTGTAATTGTCTGGTGACAATTATTTATTTTCAATTACTGATGTCTGTTTTATTAAATCGTTTATTTTTAACAATTCGGCGACCCGAACTTCTGTGTTTCTAGATAATAATAATCGATGAGACTAAGTTTTAAGTAATCAACGTAGATGTAGAGAACATTAATAATAATATTTTAACTTTGCATTAAAATTTTAAGGCGAGCACTAATTGTTTTTTTTTTTTTTTATACCATTATATGTGTAAAACTGTACAGTGAAAAATTAAGACAAATATTCAAATATTTTATAAATTATTAAAAATATTAGTACTGATAATAACTAAAATAAAAATGTAACTGATTGGAAAGAAAAATGTTATTTTTAATTAACCCATTGAAAGCATTAAAGAAAAAACGGTTACTTGTAAAAGGTAGAAGATTATGATGTTGTATAAATTACATGGTGTTCGTAATACATTTATAGAATTTAAACAACTTGGAATTAAGATGTAAACAATTAGTTCATTTTATTATTTTTTTATCATTTTGAAACAAAATTAATTTTAGACTCGCTGAATATTTACTTTTTTATTCAGAGAGAATTATTTCTCTAATAATTAAATTTTTTAATATTTAAATTACTTCTTGTGAATTAGGATCATAGTCTTATTTATCAAGTTAGTATAAAACAACACAAACAGTACGAATTACGAAGAGATAACTGATTATGTTATTTATTGAGTATGAAGAATATAATCTAAATGTTTTCTTAGAACTATACACAATTGAAAATCTATTTTTATTTGTTTTATTACTTTAAATTTGATGAAAAAGCCATCGAGGAATTAAATTTGATTGAATTTCCAAAATTAATAAGTAATAATGTGGCGACACACGTTAAAATATTCATAATGGAAGTTTTTATTGACTTTTAAACAAATCAAATTTCATTGTCCCAAATAAATATAAGTACTGTAGACTTTGTACGACTAAAAACTGACAATAACTAATAGATTTCTAAAGCTGAAAATTAACTTAAATTAATACATACGGTTTAAAAGGTTAATTGATATAAATGTTCTAGTAAAATCTTTGCTGGATTTGGTCCTTAAGCAATAAAACATTTGCTATTTATTTTTGCATCGTCAAACTAAAACAAACCCTGTGGTACTAAAATGGAGTTTTTTAACCAATAAATATTAACGCCAACCACCTGTTACTACAATTGCACATAAGCCATAAATGTTCAAGACGGGCAAAGGCAAACATCTATAGCCGACTTCTATAGAGAGCTAAATACATTTTCACCTTAACCGTTTTAAAACAATACAAATTCAATAGGTGCACAATACAATTGTGGGTGGTGCAGTAATATTATTGTAGTAGTTTTTGAGTATTCTCAAGACAACGTTGTTTCTCCGATAAACAATACGGCAATTGTGCACAGAATCAACCGCATAATTTGTCTGATATGTAATACAAGCTACAAATGCAAACTATATGATTGCCAGAATGAATACAGCGTTGACTTTGGTCGTTGACAATTAATATTAAGTAAAGCTACACTGTTTAAATTATCTCGATTAAATGTGTTTCAAAGTATACAAATGAGCGAAACTATACGTTTTTCAAGTGTCTTGTCTGATTAATTAATTTATTTCGAATAACCCTGAGAATTGTATAATTGTTCGACTAGTGTAACGTATGTATTCTAGTGAAAAATTTAAAAAAAATTAAGAAGTTAACTTACACAAAACACAAAAGAGGCTCAGTGATGGTGCTCGAGGTGTGGAAATCTCTTTTGATTATCAACGCATCGTAGCGATCCGATCCCGTCCTGCTTCATGGCCCTGTAATCAAATGCATAATCCATTACTAAAATGATGATAGATTGTCGATTTTCGCCAAAATGACCCTTTTTCTCTTATCAGCCAGTTTGTTTTCCGCCAAAAGTCGTTTTCCGATTTTCAACAAAATAGGTAAAAAATATTTTACTTAATGTTCTATTGAAATGTCTTATGTAATCGAGAAAAATTTAAGATAATATTGGGAAATAAAAATATGAATATTTATAATACCACATAAATTACTTTACAAGGAAAATACTTATATATGTTTTATAGCCAATTAAAATATACAGGTGGCCCAGCACTCGCTGACATCTTAAATAACTTTTGATCCAGTTGATTTTTTTTTTACATTTTATTAAAAAAATTCGTTATTTTTAAATTTTAAATAAAATGTAAAAAAATATTTAAGATACCTAATTTATTGAGCAGATTTTAAGAAAAATGTTGATAAAAAAATATCTTATACATATTTAGTAGTAAATATTCTGTAGCATTTTAAAGTTTGTATTATTAATGGTATTAAACATTGAAATACGTGTTGAGAAAAGGACAGAAGAAAACACTATCATTTCGTGATTACTATAATTTGGAGGTGTGTAACTTTTTCCATGAAAATTACTTACGCATTTAAATGAGAGTGATTAGTAATAATTGCCTTTCAAATATCTTATCATCGTATTAATACCAAGTATGTAAATATAATAGACCTATACTTGGTATAATATAAATCTTGACTCGTGATAAATAAATTCTAATTTTAGTTAGTATAAGTAGATTTATATACTAAAGAGATTCTCTAAAGAGATAAAACTACTTATTAAGTTATAGGTATTGTTCGTGTTTTTATTTGAATTAAAGCCGGTCATTACGACGTTCACAATTTTAATGGAAAAATCCATACACATATCATATTTTGTGTGAAAAGATTGTTCACTTTTTTTATAAAACATAACCAGCGTTTGATACCGTAGAATAAATACAGACAAATTCAAATTTTGACAAAATTTTAAATGTTACAGAAAATTAACAAAATAATCACCAAAACAAAAGTTACTAAAATTCTTTTGGTATTAGCCGTAATGCATAGCCCCTGTACTCTTATATTATTATAATGTTTAGATTAAATTCATAATTGAACTTTTAAAGTACAAATGAAAATAAATCGTTGTGACTCTTAATGAATCATAATTAAGGTTTGCGAATACAAGCATTTTAAAATTACATAACATCATATAGATATAACACACTATGAATTGATATAGTCAATGGACATTGTATAGGTGATGTTATTTGTTTTTTATAAGTATGATTCAGGGGTTCTCATAAATATCAGATGAAATATTTAATCCATTTTGGCAGAAATCAAACTCGCTGATAAGAGTATAGGGTCATTTTGACGGAAAGAGGTTTACCAGATGGAATTATTATCATGTTCGCAATTATTGAGGAAAAAATTTGTTCACAGGAAAAGTAAACGCGGTTGCCGCACTTTATCAACACCGACGGTCAAGGTAACGAAATCCAACATTATCTCACTCATAGCATATTTTTGCAATGACGGCACGTTTACAAAAATAACAACATCGTCGTAAACCGCAATTCAACGGGTGATTTCCCTAAGCTTTATGACTAGGCGAAATTTTTTATATATGTAAATGATTAGATATGACATAATAAGTTTTATCGTCGTTCATGTCACACGCAGGTACGTCGAATGCGGAAGTAACCACTTGTTTACGCAAGGGCGAGGAAGTCACAGTAATTAAATATTATGTCATTCGTGAGCGCAATGACGACCCGCCGGCCCATTCACGATTGGAACGATTAATGATAAAAAACACGGCGGAGAGAAATATCGCTGGAAGTTTTCAGTAATTTTTCTGATTTGCAGCAAGTAAAAAGAGGAAATTAATTATTCAAACATAAAAAAAAATTATAATCATAACACCCTGGCCAATAAGGAGAGAGGAGAGGCAGGAAAAAGAAAATCAAGCTTTCCGCGTTGGGATAGGAATGGATTTTTACAATTTTAGAAACGAAGGAAAAAAATAATAGCTGCCGAGATACCCAAGAGGATTTAATTATAAGTATACATTTCGTTTTTTTTTTTTTCATTAAATTGAAAAAAAAATATTTATTTTCACGGTACTCGAAGTGTGCTTGTCTGGATTACCCTATCCAATTCTGCGTCCTTTGCAGCAGAGCATTACACGATCTCAAAAGGCCAGCCGATCATTAAGACAACCATCCGGAGTTGTATTTTCGGTGTAATAATTACAATAGCTTATAAACACTGAAATGTATCGCCGAAATAAAAGCCCTAAAATAATAACAAATGTACAGTATGGCGGTGTTAAATTTCAAATTAACGATGAAAACAAAACTAAAATTTCAGTGGGATCATGTCTGCGTGATAATAATGATACTGCGAGAGCATCGTGGGAGCATTTATGGTATAAAAAGCAAACATACAAAAACGAACAAAATTGATAAACTCGGTGGAAAAATAATACTCAAAAAACAAATGTACAAATAATTTATGAATCATACATATTTTTGGTTGGTATTCTTGATACCGTTTTACTCGTCAAAAAAAAAAAAAAAAATGCAGTTGACGACAACGACGGTACGAAAAAGTTAACACTTACTAGTTCCTACGTCAACGATGATTTTTAATATAGTAATTATCCAATTAGCAGTGGGTTGAACTCAATGGAAATCAACTCGCGTCACTCACACTGCGCACAACCGCAACTCGACCGTTTCGATAGCAAACTGTTTGTCTGAAGTGTTGTTATCATTGTAGTCGGTCGGCTCGGCCGGTAACCTGTTCGGCTGCTGACGTTCTCAACGTTTTGTGGTAACACGAATGTACGTCGCGCATGGCTACAAAACAACGTACACAGTTCTCAGCAACAGCTCTTAACATAAATTTCTATCGACCGATTACGTTAACTCCGTCAAAATCAATTAGTTTTACAATATTCTAGGCCAAAATGAGGGGATCCACCATCAGACTATACATATGAGATATATTCAGCAGTCTGATATCAAACTGAACGCAAATTGCTCACTCCTAACACTTGTCTCGTTAAAACATTAAACGAGCATAGATATTTAAATGGTAAATTTAATTATTACAATCATGACCCGACACTATCCTCAAATTAGTAAACCAAATTCAGTTTATGATTGTCTTGCACTTAAAATAATATGCATTTCCTTGAAAATTGGTTAATTGATATGACACCATGAGCTATGTTTGAAACAACACAATGGTAAATGTGTCAATCCGTTTTATAACAATCGATGGACGTTTATGGGCAATGACGTTTTAAGTTAGTAGATCCGCCGTGTTCCATTAGCTTGTCAAATAATATCACATGATCGACAGTCGTTGCACAGCATCGAGTAGTTGTTTAATGGACTGACCAAAAATATAATAGCGGTACACATTTTTTTTTTGTCCGGATTCGACATTTTTCCCCCATTGCTTTTATTAGGGACACTCGAAATGTTTTGAATTTAATAGCAACACTTCAGGTGAAGAAAAACTGTAGAATTTTTTTACGTACACCGGTTTTTTCGGTAGTTGTCCAGTCTGGTACAGCCTACCTGCCAACGATCCCACGACACGGTGAATATAAGATATTCGGTCTTAGAAAACGTCCAAACAACAATATAATATACACCCAGGGGGGAGATGTGTTTATCTGAAAACGTGTACGTATAAGGGATCGAATATAATCAATGGTCGAATGACACGCACTTTGCGGTGACCTGTATATTTGACGATGTACGTTTCCTACGCGTTTACTATATTCTATACGACATTTTTTGAGGGTAGGCGGTTTATTTTTTTATTGATACGTTTCACAAAATTGAATAGGTATGCAGGAGGCAAAGGAAATTATTCGCGGGAACGTTGAAAATTTCCGCGACCAAAATCAATAACATAAACTTTGTTGACAACCATAAATTCTTCTTAGTTGAGATGAGACAGTGTCAAGTACATATAGCGATGAAGAGGGTGGGAGAGAAAGAGGCGAACAATTTCCCGGTTGTCAAGATTTTTATATACATATACAAGCGGAAGTTTTAGAGGTTTTATGTGAAGGAAACGACGACACAAACAATTACTTTGAAAAATCTTATTATTATTTTTAGATATATACATAAAACTTCTATCAGAATTTCAACGAATAAATTAAAAGATTTTAATTGCAATTATTTTTTTATTAAATTATGAGACTCAATGTAATAAGAGTTTTGTTTTTAGAGCGCAGTGTAATTTGATTTACAGCAAACATCACGTGCCACATCGAGTTAAAAAAATACCTGGATTGCACGCATCTGTAATAGAATAGGGGAAAAATACTCAAAATATTACCGTTTCAACAATTATAATAATTATTATTAATGATCTGTGGAGCAAAAATAATTATTTGTTAACGCATTTCTGGTGGTCAATTAAACAGAAAACATCTAAAAAAAAAAAAATTGAACTATTAACTGAGCGGTACACCGTTACTGTTATTGTTATTGTAAAACCAACACCAACGCGCAAAATAACAAAAATGATTCGTTTGAAAAATATTATTCCAGAATTTAATTGTTTAGTGTTACAGTTCATTAGTGACCGTTTTCCGAGTGTCAAACGAGCAAAAAGGGATATAAATAATTACTGTTTATCAGTTTTCAACAACGCGGTTTTAGTTTATTGACGTCAAATAGAATAGCGTTTCGAGGATTCTTATTATAATCTAGTCCGACCAAGTTTGGCCGACAACATCGGTGCCAGTGGTGATGATTGATGGTCGTCGTCGGATATTATTATTTTGTGTGTAACAAGTTTACCGCCGTCTTAATACTCGGCCAAAAAGTTTCGCATCATCCCACAAGAAGGGGGTTAGACGTATGACAGCAAAAAATAAAAAAAAAAACACCAACTTCATGCACAGGAACATATGCGAACGAAAATTCCCGATGCTAAGTATAGA